GCACTTACCTCACGCCCGGAACTTAAGAGAGTCGTTAGTTGTATTAGAAAGGTATATCCTCTTGAAGACCGAGCATGTGACCCTGATGGTTTAAAATCCCGTTATGTGTATCCTTGTGAGAAGTCGGTATCTATAGCAGAAAAGGTGGCTTTTTTGAGGATGGAAAAGAAAGAAAAAGGCAAAAAGGGTAGGCATCAAGACGGATCCGAGGTGTGTGATGGTAGAAGCTTCTCAACTGCTCGAATGGCAATTTGGATTCGAGCAAACAGATGTTATTGAGTACAGTGAATATGAATAAGGACAAAACAGGTTTGACTGTATGGAATGAAGCTTATGTTCGGAGTAATCACCTCTTTGATCGCTTTATAATTGTTCTTTAATGTTGTTTCCTCTCCACTGAGCATGTCGTGCAAGGCCTGGAACTTATTATTGAGGGCTAGCTTGATTTCGTTCAGTTTACGGTATCCCGAAGAAAGGTCGTATTAAACTTGTGTGATGTTGTCTGCCCCGTTTTCCAGTACTTCATCATCACCACTTGCTTGTCGCGAACCCCATGCTCAACCGTCCCCTTTTATCTGGGCTTGGGACCAGCAGTAACTCTGAAGGCTCTGTTGGCGGAGTTATACGAGATTTATAGAACTATAAAATTTGGAAGATCATAACTACATGCGGATGATCTCAAAGTAGTATACAGCTCTAAGTCTAAAGACCTGAATGAAAATACAACCAGGATTCAGAGCCAACTTGACAACTTATCTAGATGCAGTGAAACATGGCAGCTACCTTTTAACCACAACAAATGTAGCGTCATGCATTTCAGTTGGCATCACCATGAAACGCCACTCTACATACAGAAATGTAAGGTACAAACACTTATCAGCGCATGATTTGGGTATTCGTTACTCCGGAAGCCAACAATTTGAGGAACATGCCTCTTCCATTATTTCTAAATGTTGGCAGCTTATGGGGTTTATAGATAAAAAATTCTTGACGAATGGGGCTAGGCTTACACTGTTCAAAGTGTGTATAAGGCCTTCCCTTGAATACTGCTCACTTGTATTTTCAAACATGAGTTTCAAAGACACGATACAAGCAAAAAATGTCCCAAGAGGCTTCACATGGTGACTGCTAGGATGAAATCGTACTCTCGACTACACAGAAAGATGCAAACATCTCTTACTAGAACCTCTATGGAGCCATCGGTCGAAAAACAAAGCACTGCTCTTATGCAAAATAATGTGTGACCTCTTGTTTGTAACATTCTTCTCAATTATGAACCACGATCCTGCTTACAGACTTAGAAACAACTCATATACACTACTAATGGTGGAACACAAAAAGTCATTGCATTGTATTGTCTTTGTAAAACGATACAGTTTATTGTGGAACAGATCATCAATTTCTATCCGTATCTGGAACGCAATCACAAGGTTCAGTAAACTTGTAACTCTGTTGTTGGATTCTGAAGAGATTTATCAAACATTTCCAGAACTCACACCAAATCTCAAGGTACTTCGTTATGGCACATCTAATATTTAAACTAACTCTAGAAACTATTAAAAAACCATGGATATGTTGCACCCCCATCGCCACTCGATCAAGCATCACGAAATGAGAGACAAATTCTACTATTCCTACTAACATCAGAAGGCCAATTCTTTATGCTCCTACCTCTAACATTTGAAATTTACTTGATAATTAAGTTCGCACCATTGTTATTTCTAGGAGACAGATGAATCGAAAAGCATTTAGATGGTGATCACCTAATTTCAACCAGAAGGAACTCAAACTTCCTGCGTCAATGAGAGTATCTTCTTGTCTTTGTATCAACAGGTCAATTAATATTTAATTTCCTAGTTCGTTAACTTCAAAACACATTGCATTCTTAACAATTTATAACCTTACTCATCATATTTTACCACTATTTTTTCTTACTTTCTTTCGTCAGCTGTCAATCCTTCCTATCTTCAAACTACCAATTAACTGGTTCATATCTTAAAATTCGGGCCATTAGTTAACCTAATGGCAGTGTGATGAGCTACTCGGATATTTAGTCCAACATTCAGAAGCCAAAGTTCTCTGGTTTGTTTGTAACATGGAGCCAGTAGAGACAGTGTGTTCCGAAAATGTGTACAAAAAATGGAGCTCAGACTAAAACAATAACAGAACCCTACCACTAAATACAAGAGTGCCTAACAGCACAAAGGGAGGAAGGGTGGTGTGTGCGACCTGCATGTCTGTGGGGCAGAATATTTTGTTTGCTCATGGCTCCTCACGATAAGGCATGATGTAACTAATCAATGACACTGATGTTACATTTTCATGTCAGCCACTTCTACGACCCATGTTTGTAACCTTTCACCGGTTTCACTTCCTACCAAGAAACCCTGTTACAAGCAGATTTGAACAGTTATGCATAAAAAGAGTTCACTCGTGACTTTTTGAGATACAGCGTTAGAAAACATTAAATGAAATATCACCAAAACATCAGATCACTGTGCCTTCATCTGACAGCCAACATTATTTCTAACAGTTTAGTTCGTTTTAATTTCCTCAACTCATAAGATTAGTCGCTCATTTCGTTATCCTACTAGGGACTTGTCTTTGTTAGCCTACATAATTTTAGTTGTACAGTTACTGTCCTAATACATCGCCTATTTTTTAAATATTAGTCTTGATTGATGCCAAGCACTTGGTCGATTTTCCCGAAAGCCTGTCAAGTCATTATCTGGCGAATCTGAACAAGAAGATCATTACACATTTACCTCATCATTTCTTGTCATATGAAGACCTGGCTTTACTTTATGTTGATTCTCAACCGGGAGAGGTTGGTCGCAACGCATTTGACGTGACTATCGTATTGTGTATTCCCGAGTCCAAAACATTTCTACAACATTATGTGAAAAATATCAGCACTCGATAAGAAGCCAGTGTATCTTGTGAGATATTTATTGAACCGAAAAGTTTTTTACAGAAAATATGTGGGTAAGTTTAACATTTTGATATCGCCTGTAAATTGGCACACCTCTTGTAAAACATTGTTATTTGAGAATAAATTATTACTATGATAAGAATGTTTTGAAGAGAAGCGCGAAATGTCTGATGCGCGTAAGCTCTACATATTCTCAGCATTTCGGCACTTATCTATTACTTATTTTCGACTGAGTAATTAGGTTCCACTGAAGAAGAATTTAGGTTCTGGTGTCTCTTATAATTGTTTGACCTAACGAGAGGCGGTCAGGCGAAATCAGCTGCTCTGAAAATTTTAGTAACTAACTGTTTGATTTAAGCTTTATGTAAAGGGTCAATCGGTGTCTAAATATTTTGTGTCTTCATAATCGTTTGAAATGGCTGCATCTTAGGCTAGGATTATTGACTGTAACATAGTTGCCCTTAGAATGATAAGGCACAACACAATATCGATCTGTCAAGCATGTACAAATCAAGTGATTTATTTACACTCACACCTTTTAGCTCGGAGAAGTTTTTAATAGTGACAAACGATCTGCAGCTTGGTAGTATATTCCTTGCAACTGACTGGAATTAAAGGGGGAATTTGGAAGAAGAGGGCGATGGAACATTATGAATAGTTAAACAATAGAATGAAATAAATGGTGATAATGATAGATGGATAGTGTGAGAGAACGAACATGTTGAACTGCCTAGTGTTGTGTAGGTTGACATAGTCGCAGTTTTCTTAGCTAAGCCAGAAAACATTGATTCATGAGCGATTCAATCCTTGGAACCATAGGCCGTTTGGTTATCAGTTTCTAGAATTTGCCTAAAGGGAATGCTATCTTTATTCGGAAAGAGGACTAGAACACCAGAATGGTTTCCAAGTATTGAGAACGTTTCAGGAGTGAGCACGGAGAGAGTGAAGTTTGTTTTTGGCGTTAGCTCCGTGTCACAACTAACTGAATATGGCGTCCAGTTTGTCAGTTTTCAGCAGGTCCAATGAACCCTAATGAATTGATTAGGCATAAATGAATGTAGAGAAAGCAAGTTTTCCGTTTCGCTAGTTCGGTGTTGGTGTACATAACACGACAGTCGTCTTTCCTGAAAGCATGCCGTAGATCGAGTATGCTGCTTAATATTCCCAGCCTTATCTTTACGACCAGGCACAAGATTTGAAAATGTAGAGCAGCTAATTTTGTTTAGTGTCGCTTACGGTTGATGTATTCTATAGATATTTATCTATATTTTGGTAGTCTAGTAGATTCCACATGAATGGCTGGCTGGTTCTATTGAGTATGTCACGCCTGAGCCTCTTTTGAGCTCTCTGACTCGATAATTGAGGTGATTATATATACTGACAATTACTTTTAAGATTATTTGGCTTCCGCTTCGCATCACAGAAACAATGCTTACTCAGTCAAATACAAGGTGCCAAGGTTCTAAAGAGGCTACATACTATTGTGGGAATAGTCTTTGACCGGTCATGGGGATTTCAGTGAAGTATATTCGAAAATATATGATGCTCATTCTATGTACTGACTACTTATGTATGTACAACGGAAGTTTCGATTAAATAAGATTTAATGGACCAAGTGCGCCTTTCCGGATTTCTTCCGTCGGTTTTGATGCTAATGGGTATATTCTAGATAAAACAGGGTCTTAACTAAATAGAGAGAGAGATGAACCTAAGGATAATCAAACAACAAACAACAGAAATTCACATTTGCTTTTATATGGTGACAGTTTTGTTCCTTTTGATAATTAATAATTTCTTCTTTCACAGCAAACTCCTGATTTTGGTTGCATAATGTAGCACTTACGTGTATGCTCACTATTTTGTCTGACTTGATTGCCGGTGCATTTGCGACAAAAAATGTGCAAATTGAACAATCCCAGGAATTACTGGTTAATATATCCTTCTGATTCCCCCAAGAAATAATTATCATACAGAGGAAATTCTGAAGGTTTTAAACTTAACATAAGTGTACGGTGTTCTCTAAACTATTCAACTTTTCGTAGATACTTTCCTAAAGTTTGCTATCTGAGTTAGTTCCTGGGCTATGGTAGTTGAGTGACTTGTAAGTTTCTCCGAAAAAGAGAGTATAATTTTAAAATAGGACCCAAAATCTTGGTGAGAGCAATTTTATTTGCCTGTCACAAATATATTGGACATTTTACCGTGTTAGAATGAGTAAATTTGCACAGGCGGAATTTCGCTTATGTATGTCGTCATCTTAGATGGATTGTCAGCAGTTTAAGGTCATTATCAAATCACCCAATGACAAAATACCTAGTTTGACGGTACAATGCCTCTCTAACTGGCTGGTAAAGGACTTAAAAAACTACTTATCTGAACATCATCCTTCCCAGCCTACCGTTTCATGTCAAAGACTTATTCATGCTGGCAAGCTCTTGAAAGATGATACGTTATTCTCAGACATATTTAGTGGGGTAAGATATCCTTTTTGCTCATTTTCAGGTCGATGGTCCTCAAACAATTCATTTGGTGTGCCCCAACCCGAAAGTGATGCCTGATTCTATCTCCAACGAACAAGGCGGCAATGCTTGGTCGTAAGTTGTACGCTGAATTGTTTTACATCTGCCTGTGGTATTTTTTACTGTTTGATATTTATATAAGTAGTCGTTTAAATCTCAGTCGAATTCTTATGGACAACTAAGATTTTAAATTTTAGGTAACGTAAATCCTTGGGTACATTCATCAGTTACTACGTGACGTTAATACAACTAAAGTTAACCAGGTAAACGGGAAACTATTCGGAATAATAATGGCTAGAAGGAGTGAGCGTTGGGAACGTAGATCGCGAATAGTTGTATATTAGAGTAAAGGAAGAGAAGTAGGGCGGATTCGTAGTCACCTCACTCCACGTTTAAATGCTGACCATAAATGCCTCAAAGATCTCAAACGGGTAGCTCACACGTCTCAATCCAGTCCTAAAGTTCTAGAATCCTTGCTTTTTTGTCCTTAACCTCAAGCTGAACTCAACCAAGATTGCTTGTCAATATATGATTATAATAACTTTCTGCCTCATCTCAAAAACCATGTTACGCATGGGGTACATAACAACGCCTAAGACCATTTATCGATTTCGTTGAGGTATTAGTACTATTTCTGAGATTGAATGTCTTATTAGTGGATAACAAACAGCTTGACTGACCCATGTTCTGTGTCTATATCCGTTGCCTCAGTGGAGAACTTTCCTCACGTACATTTTCATATTGAACTGTAATTTAGTGAATGCTGAAAGCAGGCAATAACACTCCGTACATGTCATCTCTATTTGAACTAGCTGATTATCTGCAGTTATCTTGTCACAAGATGCCCTAATGAAATTTTCGCTAAAGGAGAAACTAGCTGTAGCACTACTATTGGCAGTCGTCCACAAGCTATGACTTACTAATTGTCCTAGGTCTTTTTGTCCCTACACGTGCTGTGTACCATTAGTCTTATATTGGTGACCATTGTTATGTTCTTTGCTCATTAGGATATCTCAAGGAATCGTCTCTTAACCTCAACAGTCTTACTAGTTCTAAATCCGCTTGGAGACCGTAATTATCAACTTCACTATGCACTGTCCAAAGTCCGAAATTGTCTCCTAACAGGTGTCGACTAAAAAGTCTTGGTGACTTACTAACGTTAGCGAGAAATGCTTTTTTTATGGCACTTGCCATCCCAAAGTTGGAGATTTTACACAAATTTATGGATATCATATTAACAGACAAAACTTTTTCTTGAACTGCTGTTTGATCCTCTAGAGGTTAGTAACTGGGTTAAGTGTGAACTGGTATTCCTAAACTCGATTTACTCGAGAGTCGTTAACCTAGTAATGTAACCACGAAGCTGAAGAAGCATCTGTTTTGCACTGACTATGCACAGTTTCTGAGTACTTTTCACTGTATTGACTTCAAACGTCTCAGATGACGTCGATATCGACTTGTCGTAAACTCTAAAATCACTACCGTTTCTGAATTCGGAAGGAAACGACCGCCATTAATTTACATTTCAAAATGTGGGACGTATACCAGATATCCAGCACATTTGCCCAAGCTACGATGGTTTTGGAGACTGCATATCTATTACTTAGTCACATTTAAATCGACGAATCACGACTAAACATCTCAGTAGTCGACATTATCGAGATGTACGGAGGGCTTAATTATTTTAGTAAGTTTCTACTATGGAAATAAATCTAGAATAGAACTTCAGTAGTGTGGGTTTTTTTCCAGGTTTATGTCTTGATTTTCCCGCTAACGACCCTCTTATTTTAACCAATACGCAAAGCTATGATATTGGATTACAGACCCTTATGATATATTTTTCTAACTATTTTTCGTTTCCCTCTAGCGTCCATGTTAGTACCACTATTTTTCTGTTTCTAATAGGTTTTCATTGACTCGTCAATAAATTCTAAATAGCATAGCTCAGTTTTTGAGGCAACTTTAATATCAGAACCATCCATTTTGTCTCTAAGACCCGGTGCATATTACGCGATCATAGGTTTTCTAATTTTTAATTACCATAAAGACGAATCTAGCCTTATTTTCTAAAGCATTAAAATCCAGCCCAAGTCCTCTGTATTCCCTTATCAAAATTTTATCGTTATTTCTTAAAATTTTACAGTAATATTTCGCCCGAGCAAATGCAAAAATACCAGCAAGCCTATTACCATTATTTACAAACTTTTTATATGGAAAATCCTCCAGTGAACCGAACCGAGTACCACACACAAGACTACTGTTGGCCATACTACTTTGGAACAGGTATGGGACTAACCATTTGTTTTGCTTACTGGTTTCTCTGCTGATATGTGAGATAAACAAGGCATATTGGCTTAGTTTAAATTTCTGTGAGTTTATATCTCACCTCTATCAACGATGAATGTATCGATTTCTAGATTGCGTCTTTATTTCCCACACGGAAATCTCGACCTTCAGATAAGCTTATATAAAAGCTAACCCATACTCCATGAAGATCTTTGTGATAGTTGTGAACTCTTCATGAATGTATCGAATATCCGCATATCGTTCGGTAACAGAATAGTATATCTACGCACGTATATTTAATTAGAATTTGAAGGTTTCAAGTAAATTTCTCTGTTAAATTTACTTATAATCGATTGAATACTCAGTTAAATTGTAAAATTGTCTCACGAAGTGTGCAACTGATTGCTAGCACATTTGATAGTTTGTTTCCAAAGGAAGGCCCGTTAATTCAATTGGTGTCACCAACTTTAGTGGCTTGCACATGTACTATGCATATTATCCAGGCAAATTACACATTGTGTATTATTTACTAGCTCTGGAACTGATTGGGAAAAGGAGAGGTTCAGTGTATGACACGGTGTTGTGACATGAAATAAAACTACAGGATTGGCTTCTGTTGAACCCTCGCCACTCACTGGTTGAAGTTCTAGTGATAAGAGCCTGAAATGCTATCAAACATGATCCAGAATAGAAGCTAGTGGCGTTTCTGTCGTAATTTCTTACTATTTTCATGTGGCGCACTTCTTTAACTGGAATAATCCTTTATAATTAATCTAATTGCTTCTATTATTATTGTTATGCTCTCGTACTCTAATTTCTATCAATTTTCCTATCATTACTTTCCTTTGTTTCTATGTCTATTCACAACCTCATTTTCATTGTGTGTTACATGTATAATTTGGTGCCTGCTTAACAGGGACTACAATGCAAACGCATCCCGGGAACTCTAGTTTCCCTAACAATCCTTTTGTACCACAAACTCCCAGCTCTTCACACCAAGCAACACCAAGCACTTCACCTGGCAATACACAACAGTGGATTCAGAGAGCTCAGGCACTTTTGTCCAGTTGGGGTGTACGTAATGGTAATCGGCACCGTAGAGAAGCAGCCGAGGCACTAGAAAATGAAAATGGTGTTAACCGAAGAGCTGATCAAATTCAGCCCCAAGCAGCACAGGAAGTTTTAGTATTCAATAACGCAGTACGAAATAACAATCGACCTGATGAAGAGGTTAACGGCGCAGGAAATATGGACATAATTGATCGTTTTTACATGCTTTTTCGACTATGCCTTTTCGTGGGGCTTTGTTTCGCATATTCGTCTTTGGACAAGGCACTTATTGTTTTCTCAGTTGCTGCTTATGTATACCTGTAAGTTCTATTATTTTGCTAATACGTACGTCAGTTTCATCCAAACTGTCTCGATTAACCTTTTAGCCATTCATAGTCATCATAAGATTCCTTTTGCTAATGATTCCTAACTCAGACATAGCATCACAAAAGCTTTTGCCAAAATTTTCTTTGCTAAAAAGGACGTAATTTATTATTTGTTTATTTGTGACACAAAACTTTCGGTATAACAACACACCAAAGGTTTGTTACGAAGTGAAATAACTGAAAAAAACAACAGAAAACGACTATTCAGTCAGGTAAAGGCATCGTAAAATGTAATATGTATGTGTACAGTTGGTTTAAGCTACTACACTATGGGACACCTGTCCTAACCACCTCAGTCGATAGGCATTCACTACCTTGTCAGTTGGTGTACAGCTTCACTGAGTTCTCTGCGTATAACCTGAGGACTGTTCACTTTGAGATGGTGGAGAAAACTTGTAGCTCAGGTGGATGATTGTGGTGGTGTTTTGTTCTCTGAGCTGGTTGTTTTGGTTGTGGAGCTTTCATTGTTCTTCTGAACAACATCATCAGCACGAACTTCAGATAGAAGTGAAGCATTAGAATTTCTCCACGTTTGACCTGTAGCTTGTTCTGCTAACCTCGATCTTGATTGGTTGTTGTTGACATTTGACCTGTCGTTGTTTGCAACTATGTTTTGATTGCCTCCCTCTTTTGATCTGTTTCTTGATCTAGTGTCACCTATGATTTTCCTGATTGGTTGATAAATTGGGTCAATGTCGATGTGTTTGTTGATTGCTAATTGACCTGAGTGCCAAGCTTCTAAAAATTCTCTAGTGTTCTTTGTCCTCCCCCTACCTAGTATTTCCACGTTGTTCCAATCAAATGTGTGTCCATAATTGTCGGTGTGTATTGATATAAGCGAAGCGTTGTCGTGGCGTTTGACTGCTAATTGATGTTCACGTAAACGGAGCTGAAGAGGTCGTCCACTTTGTCCTATGTAGTGTTTTTCACAATTTGAGCAATTTATTTTGTAGATGATATTTGGTTTTTCTTCCTTTGTCATTTTGTCCTTTGGTCTACATAGGATTGACTGAAGTGATTCCGTTGGTTTGTGTGCCACACCTATTCCAAATGGTTTCAGTAGTCGTGCCGTATGCTCTGATATGTCTTTGATGTATGGTAGGATGATGCGTTTATTTGTTCCTGTGCTTGATTTCACTCCTGATGATAGTTTTGGTTGATGTTTTTTGATGAAGTTGCGTGGATAGCCGTTCTTTTGGAAGATAGTCATCAGATGTTTTTCCTCGTTTTTTAATGTTTCGTATGTGCTGCAGTGTGTCTTCGCTCTCTTGAACAGAGTTTGTATGCAGTTGATTTTGTGGGTTCTTGGGTTGTTGCTGTCGTAGTTGAGAATTACATCGGTGTGGGTTGGCTTCCGAAATACTTGAGTTTCTAGTTTTCCTGTGTTAGTTCTGGTGATTAGTACATCCAGGAATGATAGGCTGTTGTTTGATTCCTTTTCCATCGTGAATTTGATGTCATCAAAGACGTTGTTGATCTGATTGTAGATGTTCTCCAGCTCATTCCTTTTGATAATAACGAATGTGTCGTCTACATAGCGAACCCACATTTTTGGCTTGATCACTGGCAGAATCGACGCTTCCAGTCTCTGCATTACCGCTTCGGCGATGAGTCCTGATATTGGTGATCCCATTGATGTTCCTTTTATTTGTTCGTAGACTCTGTTGTTGAACTGAAGCCAACCCACACCGACGTAATTCTCAACTACGACAGCAACAACCCAAGAACCCACAAAATCAACTGCATACAAACTCTGTTCAAGAGAGCGAAGACACACTGCAGCACATACGAAACATTAAAAAACGAGGAAAAACATCTGATGACTATCTTCCAAAAGAACGGCTATCCACGCAACTTCATCAAAAAACATCAACCAAAACTATCATCAGGAGTGAAATCAAGCACAGGAACAAATAAACGCATCATCCTACCATACATCAAAGACATATCAGAGCATACGGCACGACTACTGAAACCATTTGGAATAGGTGTGGCACACAAACCAACGGAATCACTTCAGTCAATCCTATGTAGACCAAAGGACAAAATGACAAAGGAAGAAAAACCAAATATCATCTACAAAATAAATTGCTCAAATTGTGAAAAACACTACATAGGACAAAGTGGACGACCTCTTCAGCTCCGTTTACGTGAACATCAATTAGCAGTCAAACGCCACGACAACGCTTCGCTTATATCAATACACACCGACAATTATGGACACACATTTGATTGGAACAACGTGGAAATACTAGGTAGGGGGAGGACAAAGAACACTAGAGAATTTTTAGAAGCTTGGCACTCAGGTCAATTAGCAATCAACAAACACATCGACATTGACCCAATTTATCAACCAATCAGGAAAATCATAGGTGACACTAGATCAAGAAACAGATCAAAAGAGGGAGGCAATCAAAACATAGTTGCAAACAACGACAGGTCAAATGTCAACAACAACCAATCAAGATCGAGGTTAGCAGAACAAGCTACAGGTCAAACGTGGAGAAATTCTAATGCTTCACTTCTATCTGAAGTTCGTGCTGATGATGTTGTTCAGAAGAACAATGAAAGCTCCACAACCAAAACAACCAGCTCAGAGAACAAAACACCACCACAACTGTTCACTTTATTGTCTCAGTGGAATGCCGCGAAGACATTTATAATCAAATACTAGTAATACACAAACGTCATATGTATTTGCAAAGGTCATTTTACAAACATAAATTAGCATGAAGAGTCTTTCCCCCCTGTAAACTCGTTCTTTCCTCAGCAGATGGACGTCTCGCATATGCCACAGATGATAGAAGTTAGCAAACACAAACTGAACTTTCTGAATCCATACCGAGATCTCAGGGTTGATGAGACTTCCAGAATGAATGGAGTGATGTACATGGTCAATTACTTCATTCCCCGCCACTAGTTCAGGTGTTGGTCTAGATTAGTCTTAAAGCAACATTTTGTATTTCGATGGAGAAAAGTGCTTATCACACATGACAACATTGTTGTGAAGCATGAGCAAAATCCTCTTCATTCTCTCAGTGTATTCATGAAAGAGTGGGTTAGAGAAAGCATAAGTCACATTAGATAGTTACATTAGTTAAGTAATTATAACTTTCACCACTTGGATGAGTATTTCAACATCTCCATATTTTTCATTTTCGGTTATCGTCAATCGTGTGAGGGCTATGGTACTTGAAAATACATTTAGGTTAATCGATCGTTTACTAATTAAATGTTCGTCATGAATGACATAATTAAAATATAGTCAAAGCCTATGACCAGTTCATGGTACAAAATTTAATGTGACAAAAACTCATCTTACACAAGTGGTATTTGAGGAATGTGCATACACAAAAACATGAGCTTCGTAAAAGGGTATCCTGTTCGGCAAAAAATATCCATAAGGTCCGTAAGAGTTTATGAAGTCTAGAAGGCTCTTCCAGGAATATCCCATTCTCTGTGTCTTCGAAAGACAAAGACTTCAGTCGAAGTTTTATTTATTTAAACACAAACCCTGGTACAAAGGGGCATCCAGATATTTCTGAGTAACACAAGTTATTGAATTTGTGAGTGGGTCGAGATGCCACCCAGATGCCCAAACCGAAACAATTAATTTTCTTAGGGGGTCACCATGTCCTATCCACAAAGCAGTGGAGTAATGTGATGAGGTGCAGTCGTATGGTAATCGGCCACCAACACTAGGTTCACAAACATTTCATTACATCTGAATCCTGGGGCTCATGCATACCTTTGGGTTAGAATCAGGGTTCCCCGACTCCTAGGTGAGTCTTCAACACCCACCAACCAGCTTAAGGTACTAGACAGTCGCTCAACACCGCCACGAGAAGGCAGTAAGTAGAACTCCTCTGACTGTAGCCATGTACGTGTGGTCATATGAGAGAGCATTCGGAGAGGGAGTGGGTTTCACTATGAGGACAAAGTCCACTAACATTTGCTAAACGAATGAAATCGGTTCTGCAGCCTACTATTAAGAGTACTGTGATAGAAATACCATTCAGTAAGCTTCTCATTAGACGAAACAAACTTACCAAGATAACATTACTAAAATAAACATCTGGATTTATTTTGGTCTGTTAATTATAATGCGTTTAAAATATTTGTTGAATGTCGAATGCATCCGCATCAACGGATAATTGCATTTGCTACAGTCAGCTCACAGTAATTAAAATCCGAAGAATATCTCCCTAAATTACTTAACGACTTTAGTTGGGCTGTGAAAAAAAGACATTGGCGTGTATTACGAAAGCCCTCATAAATATACTGAAAATAACCATTAAGAATATCTTATGATATTTTACCCTTAAAAACCAGATTTCTTAAAGAACAATTCAGGCGACAAAATAATACGATTATCGTTCATTTTGACATGTAGCATGTTAATTCAATTTATTAGCAAATCCTTACAATGTGAGTTTTTTCTGTCACATGTTTTAAATGTCAAACAACGTGTGTGATGTGATTTAGTATCAGAGTAAATGTTCTTTAATTATCCTCAAGCTAATGACATACTTGATGCTTTATTTATATCATTCATGGAAATTCTGTTTCGATTGGTATGTTTTTGAAGTAAACCAGCCAATCACCTTCAGTATTGGATTTGTTTTATGAATACAGGTTAAATCGGTATCTATGTTAGTCCTACATATTGTCCTTAAACCTGATTGTTTGACATCTAATACTACTTAATGAATTCCCGTCGTTAATGTCGTTGAGAGGATTTGATCGGAGTTTCATTTCTTCGTTGGAGCTCCTATTGCTAGATGGATTGATTTGCTAAATTATCTGTTTAGACTAATAAATGCAATGAAATCGATTTTCAATCGGCAGCAAATAATGAGGCGTATAGAAAACATCAAGATGTCCTGTTTAAATTATTATTCGCATAACTTCGAAAATATTCTACTCCTAGGTATAACATCTACCGAAGATACGCTGTTGTAGAGCGTATAGTACAGGCTCAACAACCACCACAACAAAATTCGCAAGGTGCGCAAGGCGATTTAAACCCTCCAGTAAGTATAATGACAATTTCATTTTGTACTATACATATAATTTTCAGTGAATTTATTATTATTTTTAAGCCAGCAAAATGTACATCTTTATATTTACTGAATTTAAAACACCTATATTCGAGGTATTTAAAAACGCACCCAATGTCAAGGACAAATAAGCAGTTCACAGATTCTACCTAAGACCTCAGTCAATCTTACTGCTAAAACTGGACCACCATCCCTGAAAATATCAGGAGTAAGCCCGTCGGGCTCTGTTGCTCTCCCTCGCTTCAAATTTCCCATAGCTTTTTCAGCCTCATAGAGACTCGGGGGACTTACATCGATTCGCCATTGAGGTTGACTGGAGAACGTGGGTAACTGACGTGTGGCTGTAGGCTGAAGTGCTCTGCCCATCGACCCAAATCCTGGATTGAGAATGCATCGTAAGCCTATCCTCTTTCGAGATAGTCTCCCTTACAGTAGGATTACTAATACCGGTTTCGTTGATGCGTCTGGATCTAGACAAGTGCTCCAGAATGAGCAGGTGTCTTCAGTGGTGTTGCGCATGCACGTCAACACGTCATTTGATATGCTTGAACCATTACTAGTTCATTCTTGACAGTGAACAAGAGCGAATATCGAGGATCCGGCGACACGACATGCCTGTATTGAGTAGAAAGAAAACTTGATATGAAGTAGAACCTGTATTCTACAAGCATTCAGAAAGTACGAGGTCCGAGTCCAGAAGAAAATCAAGATCCCGGGTCCGGGTCATAGAACGTTACAGATAATGTGTATTTATACATTGAGGTTAAGTGGGAAACAGCATCGAAGTCTGTGACATTGAAATTCAGGACAGCCAATAAGAAACAACATTGAAGTACGTGACATTGATATCTAGGACGATCATAAAATTTACCAGTAGAAATTAACCAACAGGAATTGACCGATAACCCCTTAGGATATTGGGTGAATATCCTAATAAATGGACCCTCCACGGGTGACTGATAGTGATGTAATCTAGTTGGCGTGTTGGGGGTCTCTATGTCATAATATGTTTATGCTTGTGCTTTAAGTTATTATTTTCTAGAAGTAGGCGGTTATCTGCTGCAAACGGCCGTCGTTATCTGTTCGGTTAGCCGCGACACCATAAGTTCCCTATTCAGATATCCTTCGGTTATGCTTAGCCCACTCAACTGAGCCTTAAATTCACCAGCCACTTACTGTATCAGAGCACCTAACATTTTTTAGGTGTTCTGGAAGTTTTCTGTAAAACTCATATTTTACCTCGTCTGAACTGCATAGGCGGAGACAACGAAAAGGCGACGGCGAATCTCCCTATCTTTCTAAGTCTTTACTGTCACGTTTAGTCGAACAGCGCACAAGTGACTACCTGCTGGGATGCAGTCTAAGAGAGCTAGTTCTATTCTAATACCATACATACACCAGCGAGGCCACAGGAAGTAGTAGTGGGGCTTCCAGATACATGAAGAGTAAACCGATTTGATTCTCTATCCGGACACGGTGAAATCAACTTAGTGACTTTGCTTGGATCCTGTGTGCGCGTTTCGGAGACGCAGCAAACATCGATGCCACAAGATAGCAGAGTCCTAGCTCAGAAATCCTGTTGTCCTACTTTGCACAAGATCCGGACATTAAAAGCCTCAACACGTGGTTTCATGAGACCAGATTTTTTCTGATACAATCAAATTTAAACCATCATATTTCAATTTTTAGTCGATTCGATTTTGAATATCACATAATAGCCATATTTTGTACTTTTTGCCTGATATTGAGATTTTTTGTTATTGGGTGACAGTACGCGTCTAAACTTCAGAATTTCAACACTATATTGACAATATGTCTGTGATTTTTTTTTATAAAACAGGTAAGTGAACAACCTGTGAGTCAACATAACCAACATGTTCAGGAATCCACTGAAGACCAAATAAATGTTAACGTACGTGATGAACGGGAGTCTAGACTTACAAGGATAACTACAAATCTGCGATTGGCAGTAAACCTATCTTATCAGTTCTTTTCAGCTCTGGTTTCCTCAATTATTCCAGAACAACCGCCACCACTACACCTAGACTAAAGTTGGATATCCACTAACTTAATCACAGAACACTATATTTTGTTTAGTATGTTATCAACAACCCTATCACCTCACTTTATTTTCATTTTATTTAACCCGTAATTTATGTTGTTTTAAAAAGTGCCTTCCTACTTATATTTGTACGCACAATACTAAGAAAAGCAGTATTTTGTCAAAAGTTCGATTAGCAACACATTTATTTTAAATATTTTACCAGAAATTTAGTTGTCATCAAGTTGAACACTAATTGATGTCAGGTTTTTTCGGACTGATTGGCGAGTAATTATCTAATTGCTTGCAAGATATTATTATATTTTGAAGATGCGTTTTTACTGCTAGATTGGTCTCTTACCTGTGCTTTTAACAGCTGGTAGTATGTAGTCAGTGATTCCGATTAGTGTAGGTGCTGATACAACCAAGTCATAATCGCCAAAGTATGGGTTCTTTTATCATATTTCCACTCCACTAAGTAGATAATCAACCGTTGTTGCTCGGATACACAAAACTGGATCGGATTTTATCACTCAAAATATCTGCCACGTACTGACGTACGACTAGGAAATACGCATGCGCTGTGAGGATTTAGTGTCTTTGCAGCACGGCACGTGTATGGTGCAACCTCTGGTTAAATACAAAGAACATTGAAAGTTAGTAAAAAGGAATATATTTCCCACAAATCACCCGACTTTTAACTAAACTATTAGTTTCTGGAAGTAGTATTATGTACAAAGTGAAGAATTGTAATAAAAAATATCACCTTTCGAAAGCATGATGAAAATTCTCAGGAAAACGTGCAGGTGCAACTTCTTTGTCTGATTTATTTAATGTTTCTAAGGATTTCTTTAATAGATTTCCTGTCAACATAATAATAACAGAGAAAAATAGAAGTTAGACATGATGACATATACAGCACGTCATTGTCAAGTATAGATAATAAAAATTCGACCTAGCGTTTACGTGATGAAATGTGACCGACAATGTATACATTCAATAAACTATACAGCTAATGAAGTTGGAAATTTTCGGCGGACGAATGGTATTAAAATGTTAGTTCATGCAGTCGACGAAATTATATTTCGTTGTGCTAAAATAATACCATTTTATGTAATACGTATGAAACTCACAAAAGCGGCTTAAAAGTATTGTAAAACTTTTCACTATAAAAATAACTTCAGTCGATTCTCTACATGGTGATGTGCATTCATCAATCCATGCAAACATTGGTTTATTGCTGCAGTGATAAAATTTACTGGGCACTGCGTTAACTAAAATGAATTCTGATGTATGTATAAACATAAGTATATTGAATCTAGTGACCAATTTCAAGATCTATTTTCTATATGCAATCGATTAGTTGAATTGTGGCTTACTAGCAGTAATAAGCTGTTGTAACGTGACTGAAACACGACTGAAGGTGATGACAGTTAGTGCGTTATCTTTACGTGCCACAACTCTGTTCGACGAATATCCTCAATGTTTTAGTGATGTGGTTTGATTATGATGCCCTGGAAATCGTTTGGGACATCAATAGCGCCTACACCCTAACCTTTAATTGAATTAAATTGAATCAACGTAGACTGGGTTTGCATAGCAGGATGCGTACTCGTCAATACTTGGAAAGAAACGGGTCGACTAAAGAAGTTCTGGTATGTTTAGATGGGGTTTAGTGTCAGTTTTGACCGGAGTTACTATAAACACATCACCAGCTGGCGAACATTGGTGTGTGGTTTAAAAGCGGTCGTATGGTTATTTCCACAACTTGATGACCTGGTTGTTGTGAAGTTAGTGATCCCATCATAATTCGTCTCTTATGACCCTCATCCGAATTTCAGTACAAGAGGTGATATGACGCAAATCATTAATATGACTTGTACTGTGCTGTTAACTCTTCAGTTTCAAAGGAATAATAGACATGTTAAACAAAAATGTGTAGAAACTTACTTGGTCATTATATTTGCCTTTAGGCGCCCGCGAACACCTGTTGCCTTTTTTGATATATTAGTAAGACCTGGGTAATGTCTTCTATTTTCTTTCTTTCTTTGTTCATCTAATTCTGAATGAGACCGGGAAGAAAATTACATACTTATATATCGTTCAAATAACAGCTCAGTCGGATACCAATAAAATCATCCACTTGCGTTTAGAACTTGATTTGTACTTTCCAGAGCTAGAGACAAAAATCGATATTGACAGTCGCAAAAGTGCTCAAGATAATTATCGGTTCTATCCATGATATCGTATGAAATAAATAGGAAGACATTTCTACTAGTGTAAGAACCAAGTCGTCTGGGTTAACATTTCGTCGCCTAACCATTTCCCCACCTGACTGGAAGGTGTTCATTTTGCACGAACTAAGTAACGTTGAAGATGACAGTCTATCTTGGTCAGTTGTAATTGTTACGATGTGTTGTGTCCAGATATGATTCTGATACATAAACTTCCTATACTAACCAGAATTTAGGTAGCAAAAATTACAGCATTAAATAAGAAAACTCACTTTTTTGTCTAGCCAACCTCTTGGATTCCATTTCTGCTTGGATAAGTCTTCTATCATTAATATCGATTGGTCTTCCAGATATCTTATCGCGTTTAACAATTCTGCCATGTATGGGACATCGGCCGCTGGAGTCACGTCGTTGGCACAACGAACCAGACAACAAAGGAGCCCAACAGAATAGACTTCGGGGGGTCACTACGGTCGAAATTGACAAATAATAGTAAAATAGATTGTTTCGTGGACTGGATAAGCACATATGTGTTATTCATATGAAAACTCATAGCAGTAATCGGATATATATTATTTTGTCTACCCTTGGAAAGACAAATACAACGCAGAACTTAGTTCGTAAGTACGTCAGTTCAGGTTGCCATGCCCCATCAGCACAGAGACGCAACTATCAGTTCAAATCCAAGAGTGATAGCAATAGTAGAAGTATTAGCAGTAATGAAGAAGATTAGGGAGCGAAGATATGATTCGAGAAGTATAATTCAGTGAGATAAATTTAGAAGGAGAAAGGTAGAGATGATGAGGAATTCAGAAGGTTAGAATTAGAGAGAACACAAAGAGTGGATACACTTGCGCCATTGCAAACGATTTTGAGCCATGTCGTTCAAGGTCTCTAGCCATTGTTGACTTTCATCTGACGGACCCCAACCAGGTAGCCTACATCAACCAACATGGCTTATTCCACTCGTCAGTGACTTCATGAATTTCTGCCATGTTTTGGTTTGTCCGCCCCTTGCTTTCATCCAACCTACTCCTGCACAACAGAACATAGATCGTCGCGGCAATCGGTGGTTAGGCATACGTAATACATGGAGTTTCACTACTTCACCTACTGATTTGTCATCCCTACCTAGAATTCGTCTCCTAACGACAGCATTGCCTGTACGGTTGTCCCAGGATACACAAGCAATGCTTCGGAGACACCGATGATCGAAGACTAGTAACCTACGAAAGTCCTCTACTCAAGACGGTCACGTCTCGCATCCGTATAGAACTGCTGAACAGTACACTCATCCCTTGGTTATCAAGCGGATATGACGCAGGTTGGCAAGAGCCAATCGGGCCTTCTGTATCCATGCTGAGATTTTGTCAGTCGCCAGGCCATCAGCATTGATGAGACTCCCCAGATAATTGAAGCGGTCAACACGCTCAACTATTTCACTCCCTATCACTGGTTCAGGTACCGATGCGACCCAATCCTGAAGCAACATTTTGCATTTCGAGAGGGAAAAGCGCATTCCGAACATGCTTGCATTGTTGCTTAGGGTGGTCAGAAGACTGCATTTTGTCAGCTTCTTCACCAAGTAGGACTATGTCATCGGCAAGCGATTTTCCTGGTAGAAAGTCGAATCCTGAAAATTCACACGAAGATAATGTCATATCTAGGAGCATGTTTATGACAAAATTAAACAAGAACTGTGAGAGTGGACGGCCCTGACGGACACCACTTGAAGTAAAGAATTTCGTCATAAGCTCTCACTCGACCTGTAGTGTTCGTGTAGAGAGCTTGTATAAGGTTAATGTACTTCTTTGGTATACCTTTCAATGACAGATAATGCCACAGATTCAAATGCCGCCTTTAGGTCCAAGAAGACAACTATTGGAGGACGCCTAAATGTGTGTCTGTGTTCCAGGACCTGTCGTAGAGTGAAAGTGTGGTCTATACAGCCACTTCCGGGTCTGAAACCAGTCTGGTTTTCTCTAGTCTGCTGTTCACGAGCTCTAGTTAGGCGTCTAAGGATAACTGAGGCTAACAATTTAGATACTATATTATTTAGACTGATTCCCCTGTGATTGTCACAAGAAGACTTTTGTCTTTTTATGTAGACTGGGACAATCAGGGATTGAGATCGGTCAGATGGGATTGCGTCCAGTTCCCAGATTCTACCTAAGGTCTCAGTCAATCTAGCTGCTAAAACTGGACCACCATTCTTAAATATCTCAGGGGTCAATCTGTCGGGACCCACAGCTCTCCCTCGGTTCAGATTTCCTATCGCATTCTCAACTTCATAAAGATTCGGGGGGACTTATGTCGGTTTCCCATTCAGGATGACCGGAGATCGTGGGCTGAAGGCCAGTTGAACTGATCCCTAAAGTGTTCTGCCCATCGATCCAACCTCCTGGATTGAGAATGAATCATAAGCCCATCCTTTTCCGAAATAGTCTCACTCACATTCGGTTGCCTAATACAACTGTCGACTGTTGCCTATCGCCGCTGCCTTTTCCATCGCTTTTGCTTTCGCCACCCACCACTGTTCACGGTTGTTGCGCAGGCTTTTTATCAGCCTGCGCCTAAGCTGACTTCTCTCCTCATCATGTTTAGAGCCAGGTGGGATGAGTTTCCGGGCATCCTTCAGATCTGAATCTAAAGATGTGCCCGAGAAGGAGCGGCAGTCTCCTATCGAACCCCTCCATTGGTGGCTGATAACAATGTGATCTGGTTGAGTCCAACGTTGAGACGACTTTGGGGGTCGCCAGGTCAATAGATGCTTTTCCCTATGCCTAAAGTTAGCGTTTGCTAGAAATAGGCGGTTATCTGAGCACAGTTGCAACAGACGGTCTCCATTGTCTGTTCTATTAGCCGCAACACCATAAGATACACCCAGGTTTCCTTCCTCCTCACCTAGTCTACCTACTTGAGCATTAAAGTCACCAGCCATTATTACTACATCAGAGTGCCTAACTTTTTGGAGGAGGTCCGAAAGCTTTCTGTAGAACTCATCTTTCACCTCGATTGAACTGCAGTCAGTGGGAGTATAGGCAGATACAACGGAGAGGCAACGACAGGTGTCCCCATCGTTCCGAATCCTTACTGTCCCGTTCATTCGGACAGCGTATAGGCGATTATCTACTTGGATCCAGTATAGGAGAGCTAGTCCTCCCCTACGACTCAATGCTATACCTTCACCAGCAAGACCCCGGGAAGCAGCATCAGGGCTACCGGATACACGAAGAGTAAATCGGGCTGCTTCTTTGTTTTGATAAGGTGAAATCAAATTAATGATTTTACTAGGATCCTGTATGCGCGTTTCCGAGACGCAGCATACATCGATTGAGCGAGATTCTAATTTCCTAGCTAAGGAAGCCTCCTGCCCTATTTGACATAATGTGCGTACATTAAAAGCGGGGTTTCAGGAGACCAGAAATGACGTTTCTTGAACTCGCATTGTCTGCATTAGCTGTGCACTGTGATAAAAGAATGTGAGAAGAGTTAGTCAAGGAGATAAGAGAGGTATTAGGGGGTGTAGGAAGTACTTGATTATGACCGATTTGGTCTCGCGTGCTGTTACAGGTATGAGGACGGTTGTCACTTCCCACATGCCCACACCGTGGAAGTGTGTTTCTTGAGGAACCTGAATAGGAAAGTAGATTAGTGTCGATCTTAACGACCTGGGAGCGTCACCGCAGAGCCCAACGGACAACTGCTTGGGGCCGGTCACGCACGGCCTTTTTATGAAAGGATTTTTGAGTATTAGCTCCACTGTTAAAGGCCTTCAGTGGGCACCCTTACCGCCGGGGACGGAAATCCGTGAGGTAGGGTGAGTTGTGACATTTTTAGGGTCGACCTTTTCTAACCCTTCCTTACTTGTGAGAAGGCAGCATCGCTGCAGATGCTGGTTGTCCGAGGGAAACACCTTACTGCTGTCACACCCCTCTGCAGTCAGCAGTAAGACTTCGCCCTCAGACCTTGGGTAGCTGCTTTTAGTCTCGCTGTTCTCCAATCGACCTGCCTGGCGTGGTAGGACCTGCAGGAACATATGTTCCAGCCAGTATAGCTCGGTTGGGTCATCACGATAGGCAAGCACGACCAGCACGTCAAGGTAGCAGCTACGGTCGGGTTAGATTGAATGTTAAAATTCCCAAAGAAAAGGCCTTGCAGTGAAGTCTTAATTGATTGGAGAATAAGTGACCTAGTTTTCTTTAATCACCTATTTGATTTTATGATGCTCACTTTGTGTTTATAATGTGCTTATTGCAATGTTACTTTATTTTATAAGAAATTCATTCATCTGTCTAATGAACTAGTATTTCATTTATAAGTTTAAGTCCCTTATGCGATTTTGTGAGTAGCCATCGCTTAGTCATATCATATCATTACGTTTATCCATTAATTAGCACTCTCTTCAATAATCTCGATAATCGAAAATTTCGTCTAGTCAAATCACAGAAAACGTCCTGCATAACATCAGATTTGCAATCATCACAATTGCAAATTAATTTATGAACGCTAACTATGTCTATCTCTCGACTATCTAGGCACTAACGCTTTTGTTAACTGAGTTACCAACAAAAAATGTTGTATCTCTAACCGTTGACCAACATGTTGTGACAAATACAGAACACGAATCAGAATCACGCCTCAGCACCAGAAACCTTGAGTCAGCTCTATATCCTTATTGGTATACAACTCAATAGCTCCTTTTTTCTTTACCCTGCCTCTTACTCCAGATGTCCGTAGGCGAGCTTCGAAAAGATTTGTTATACTTCAAGCAGATATAGTCTATGTATAAAACACACCAGACCACATCACACCATAAAAAAAGAAAATATATTTATGCATAAGCGAACCAAAAGTGGCTGTGAATAGGGGAAACTGTAAATAATAAACTAGTGTAGTGTGCCGATTTTGAGGTGTTCTTAAGTTTCGTAATTAGCTCGTTCAGACAATCGTTACTAAATGGCGTCTGACGGTTATAAATCAGAAGGTAAACTCGATGTGTTGAACACGTTTATTTTGGCACACCACAAAAAGGGATGGCAGACCACAAGCAGAGCGGACAGACACACTAGCGAAAGAATGGGCGAATGAATGAATGAGATTAAAATTTCCGTATATAAACAAAGAAAAATGCCTGAGTCATTGTGATATTTAAGAGATTAATATTAAAGCGAAATGGATGAATATGTACGTAGGTGTTAACAATGTTAAGTCATATCAATTCATACAAATCACACAATAATAATGTTTGAAGGCACCATTTTCACAGTGTACACAGATCATAAACCCCTCACGAAAGCGTTAAACGCCAAGCACAACAACTATTCGCCGAGGGAAATTCGACAATTGAAGTTTATTTCCCAATTTACGTCTAGCATACAATATATTAAAGGTCATGATAACGAAGTAGCAGATGCATTGTCAAGAACGATGGTTAATACTCTCATCCAACCCGACACTGATTATCATAAACTTGCGTCATTGCAAAATATGGACGTAGAGCTAAATAGACTAAGATCATCTAGTACAACTTCTTTGGTATTCCAAGATAATTGATTCGGCAAGGTAGGTATAATCTGTGATATCTCTACAGGCCGACATCGATCATTCATACCGAAGCAACTATGACGAAACGTTTTTGAAACTATGCAAACATATCACATCCAGGAATTAAGGCCACGATCAACCTGATCAGCGAGCGTTTCGTATGGCCAAGTATGAACCGAGATGTTCGCAACTGGACGCAGGCATGTATTAAATGCCAGAAAGTTAAAGTTTATCGTCACACAAGTTCCGCAGTAGGTCCTTTCCGTCACCCAGACAGTCGATTCGAGCACATACATATGGACATTGTGGGACCACTGCCAATTTCGAATGGCTTCAGTTATATTTTTACCTGCATCTACAGATTCACAAGATGGCCTGTAGCGGTGCCCATAAAAGACATTTCAGCAGAGACCATAAGAACACACACTACACTAGCAATATAATAGGAATAATAAAGCACAGAACGGTGGTTGATGAGTTAATGGGAACATCATATAATATATATATATATATATATATATATATATATATATATATATATATATATACTAAATAATTATATAATAAGGCTATACACAATAATAATCCATAAATTATCCCTAGAACTTACCATTCCTCTAATCTTCTTTCTGCTATAGCAAAAGGTTACTGGAATTGGCATATGGTTAACCTATCGTTAAACAACAAGTCTTACATTACTATGAGTTAACTGAGATTGAAAATCGAAACCAAAAGTGGAATTCTGTGAAAAATTTTCTTAAGCTGTAGTTCGAATCATATACTAAGTGGTAAAAAGTCAATCGCTTAAATAGAAACACAACAGAGACCTGTAGATTCACAGTGATGGTTTTCAGGTTAATGAGTGTTCTTGAAAATTAAGACTAAGGGTATTTCTTCAGTGCACGATTTAAAAGCCTCATACTCGGCTTTTAAAAACATTCATATGATAACTACTAGGTCACGGGTTTTAAGTCAAGACAGTATGGCTAGTCAAATATAAACTGAGGGTGGCTTATAGATCAGTAATTATCAACTTATTTATCGTAATTGCTTAGTGAAAAAAACTGAAACTTTTTATCAAATCTACATGAGAGGTTAAATACGATAACATACATATTCTTGTCAATAAACATACCTGAGAAGTCAACCTGTTTGATCTCATTTTGTTTACATTCAATTGAATTTGGAGGAGATTCAGAATGAGCACTTGGAGGAGGACATTGAGCATCATTCGTTGAAAACCACGAAATAGCTGAATCAAGATACTCTTTTGGTGTATCATATTCTTCTGCATCAATAGGTTTCCAAAAACGGTGAACAGACTCGTTATCCTTGCAAGATGATGTAAGGGAGGTTGCTGTGACATCACAAGAAATAAGGTTATGCAGGTCACTCAATGTCGAACTGGTTACAAGGGCCTCCCGCTTTTGAGATCTAGAAAATTATTTTTGAAATACGAAAAAAAAAGAAATTTCATGGCACCATATTGGTGATCAGGGAACGTAGTTGGTTGTAACTGTATGATAGATGAACAAAGCGAAATTAAAATAATAAAAGGATGCATATTACTCAATCATTGGAACTATGCGTAAATGCTTCTGGAACCAAACTTCATTATCAATAGTTTGAATATTATCAATATAAAACATCTAGTTCATAATAAAACCGCATGGCCAAGAATCAACGTAAATTAGTGAAAACTGATGTAATAATGATCAAAATTACCAAAAGTAAGCAAAAATATGGATAACCTTAATAAATGGCATCATTTCCACAAAGTAAATTCCACTTAGAGCACTTATAGAGATACTGCAGGTCCCAAGACTTGATAAAGGCGGGTTGTGCACGGGGATAACCGCCACATCCTGTAGAAAACTAACACTAACCAGGACACATGATCCAAACCAATTTTACTCCGCCTCCGAAGTTGGAAGGTTTTCATTTAGAACAGTTATGACGAATCATGATGAAAGGCGAGTTTCTTCGGAAGTCACGGGGCCGATACCCGTTCCGACAACAAGAGCAACAATTAACATGGATATATCAAATGTCCGGGCAATGTGGAAGACCGTAAGAACCATTCAAGTTTCTGAGAAAAATAAAAGATACTACCTAATGTTGCTTGAAATCAGTGAAAAACACATTGGACACAATCCGAAAACAGAAACTATTAGCTTTAAGAGAGGTGCTGTTTTACTACGACCAGGAAGAACAAAATGCCTCACACAGGAGTTGCACTGATGTCGTCCAAAAAAGCACGAACTGCACTTACAGGATGGGAATCTGATGGACATAGCTTCATCAAAGCATCCTTCACGACAAAGAAAGACGGGATTACAATGAATTTCATGCTATGCGACGTGCCTGCCAACGATAACACTGAGGACGGTAAGGATCAATTCTATGAGATGTTGCAGCTAATTGTCGAGAAATACCCATCAGAGGATTTGACCATTTTGATGTGCCTTAAACAAAACGGTTATAGGTCGAACCATTCTCCCACACAAGCGCATAAACAAAGAGACATGTGTTTCGCCAGATAACACTTCATAGAATCAAATCGATCACATCAGCATCAATAAAAAGTGTAGGAGGTACACGAACGACGTAAGGACAAAGAGAGGAGATGCTATAGCTTCAGATAACCACCTAATGATAGCCAAGATAAGTTTGAAACTAAAGAAGCACTGGCGAATAGCATCACAAAAGTTTACTACAACCCTTCTTCGCGATATTGGCAAACTCAACAAATCGAAGATAGCTCTTTGTAAAATGTTCGAGGCCTTTCACGATCTACTCGATGGAAAGGAAACTACCATGGAAAACAACTAGGAAGGGATCAAAGAAACAATAATCTCAACATATCATGAGGTTTTAAGTCACAAGAAGCACCATCACAAGCAACAGATCTCTGTTTGTAATCTGGATAAGATTCAAGAAAGGCAGCAGTCAACATCAGCCGAACAGAAGGAGAAAAAGAGAAGACATAAAAGTAAACAAGCAAGTGAAGAGCATTGTGGCTGATAATCGGGAATATGTGGGAGATCTAGCGATGATAGTAGAAAAGGCTGTAAGAAAAGGAAATATGTGACAACTATACGATACAACAAAGAGGCTCGCTGGAAACTATCGTAAACCGGAACGACCAGTCAAGAACAAAGAAGGCAACCCAACCACCGAGATAAAAGAACAGCGAAACAGATGGGTAGAATACTTTGAAGAACTCTTGCACAGACCAGGCCCACTGAACCCACCTAACATTAAAACAGAACCTACAGACCTTCCGCATTGATGTTAACCCATCGAGAATAGAAGAAATCTGTACAGTTATCAGACAAATCAAGAGTGGTCAAACAGCAGCACCAGAAAACATTCCAGCTGATGTACTGCATGCAGACATAGTAGTAACTGCGAAGATTGTGTGGATTTAGGAGGAAGAACAAGTACCTTTACTATGAGGAAGTATTTGACATAATGAATAGGATGACATACACAGGAAGGAGCAAGATCCTGTGATACCAAATAGCATGCACCAACCAAATCACACTTGACGCAGAAGCTTAGGAAGATGTGGAAACCTTTACATACCCGAATAGCATAACTGATTAGCAGGGTATATCTGATGCAGATGTAAAGACACGGGTCGGCACAACAAGGGTCTGGAACTCAAATCAACTGTCATTCAACACCAAAGTCAGAATTTTCAATAGAAATGTCAAGACAGTTCTACAGTATGGGCGGAAACTTGGAGAACTATCAAAGCTTTCATCCACAAGATACATGTGTTGATTAACAGTTGTCTACGCAAAATACTTCGGATCCGTTAGCCAGGTACCATCAGCAAAAACCTACTGTGGGAGTGAACAAACCGGATTCCAGAAGAGGAACAAAACAGGAAAAAGAGCTATAGGTGGATACGATACACACGTCAGAAATCACCTAACTGTATCACGAGGCAAGCCTTTACTTGGAACTCTCAAGGACAGGAAAAGTGGTAGACGAGGGAACATACAGCACCAAGGACGGGAGAGAGACATGAAAAATGAATAGCAATTTGGTTGAACTTGAAGGGAAGTTCTAGGACAGAGTTGGTCGGAGAATGCTGGTAGGCGGCTTATGTTTTACGAGGGGAAAAAAGTGAAATTCTGAAGTTTTAATACACTTGTGAAGTGTCTGACATACCAAGAGTTACAACTACATGAATTAAAGGCTACAATAAAACTGTTGCTCAAAAGTATATAATAGGAGTGAAAGGAACAAGATCATAATTTTATGAAACTCGACAACACGGTTTTATTAAATTTTGATATTAAAAAAAACAAGATGGTACTGTAAGTCAGTGAATTATAACATATTTACAATAGTAAAAATAAATTAATATTTCAGTAGAATTACTTCGACAGATGTTCATTTGATGACTGAACTATTTGTTGGTTGGTATCATCCTTAACGACGGACAAACTTCTGCAGTTAATCGATTCATTTTTTTCGCATAAATTCTCATGTGACGAACTTGGATAACATGGTGAATTATGATGATCAGATGTAGTGCTGACTACCTCCTCAAAATCACTCTCATCACTAGAAACAGGAGTACTATCGGACTGAATTAATAAATTGGATGATTCTAAGAAATAACACGAATGAAACAATGTAAAATATGTGCGTGATTAGAAATGACATGAAAATGCTAAAAAATCATGATTTGATAAGTTTTGTTTTTCTTAAGAAAACGAGCTACAAATAATTTAACTCAATTGATAGTATTTTATATACAACATGAATATAAGTGAAAACAGTCAAAATAATAATGTCAGGTGCATCTGAATAAAGCAAGAAAACGTTATACATGTATAACACCGGGATTGGATTGGTTTAAAATTGATCGATCAGCTCAGTTCAATTTCAGAATGTCGTAAGCGTTCATTAGTTAGGACTTCATATTACTTACTTAAGCCTGTTACCCCCAATGGAGCGTAGGCCAATCACCAGTATTCTCCAGTCTACTCTGTCCTCCGCCTTTACTTTCCAGTCCTGTCTAATTTTTGTTCATTCTTATCATGTCTATCTCCAATTCCCGGCGTAATGTGTTCATCGGCCTTCCTCTTTTCCTTTGATCTTGAGGGTTCCGAGCTGGGGCTTATCTTATGACGCAGTTGGGTGCTTTCCGCAATGTGTGTCCTATCCACTTCCACCACTTCCTGATTTCTTTCTCCGCTGGAATCTTCCCCATAGTAGGTTTTTGCTGATGGTGCCTGGCTAACGGATCCAAAGTATTTTGCGTAGACAACTGTTAATAAGCACATGTATCTTGTGGACGATGGCTTTGGTAGTTCTCCAAGTTTCTGCTCCATACAATAGAACTGTCTTGACCTTTGTATTGAAAATCCTGAATTTTGGTTTTGGTTGACAGTTGTTTTGAGTTCCAGATATTTCTCAATTGTAGAAATGCAGCCCTTGCTTTGCTGATCCAAGCCCTCACATCTGCACCACATCCACCGTACTCGTCAGTGATGCTGCCCAGATATGTAAAGGTGTTAACGTCCTCCAAGGCATCTCCATCAAGAGTGATTTAGTTGGCGTATGTTGTGTTGCATTGGAGGATTTTGCTTTTTCATTTATGTATGTTGAGACCTGTTGCTGCTGAGGTGGCTGCTACACTGATCATCTTCTCTTGCATTTGTTATCGCGTGTGAGAGGCAAGAGCCAGGTCATCTGTGAAATCGAGATCGTCCAGCTGCGTTCGGACTGTCCATTTGATACCGTGCTTCCCTCCAGATGTTGACGTCTTCATAATCCAGTCGATCACCAGGAGAAAGAGAAAGGGTGAGAGTGAGCAACCTTGCCTGACACCTGTCTTCACCTCGAAAGAGTCTGTCAGCTGTCCTCCATGCACGATTTTGAGGTCTAATCCACCATAGGAATTCCGTATGATGTTAACTATCTTCTCAAGTACACTGTAGTGTCGAAGAAGCCTCCACAGTGCTGTCCTGTCCATGCTATCAAATGCTTTCGTGTAGTCAATGTATTTGATGCATAGTGGTGAGTTCCATTCAATTGATTGTTCCACAATGATCCGTAATGTTGCAATTTGGTCAATACACGATAGATTCTTACGAAGTCCGGCCTGTTGATCTCGAAATTGGACGTCTACGAAGTCCTTCATTCTGTTTAACAATACTCTGTTGAAGACTTTGCCTGGTATTGAGAGAAGAGTGATGCCTGTGTAGTTCTCACACTTGCTGAGATCGCCTTTCTTTGGTATTTTGATGAGGTATCCTTCTTTCCGATCTGATGGTATTTGTTCCTCGTCCCGAATCTTGTTGAAGAGAATGTGGAGTATTTTAGCAGGTGATGCCAAATCTGCTTTCATTGCCTCTGCTGGTATGTTGTCTGGTCCCTCTGCATTGCCGCTCTTGATTGGTCTGACGACCACACTGATCTCTTGAACTGTTGGTAGGCCAAAATCGATTGGGAGGTCCATGGATGCTGCTTCGATGTTGGGTGGGTTCAGTGGAGCTGGTCGATTCAAGAGATCCTCAAAGTGCTCTACCCACCTGTTTTGGAGTTCTTCAATGTTGCTTTCCTTGCTTTTCACTGGTTGCTCTGGTTTACGAGTTTTCAGTGAACTTCTTTGTTGTATTTCTTTCAGCCTTTTCCGCTGTCATTGCTAGGCCTTCCAAATATTTACGTTTGTCGGCTTTGATGCTCTTCTTCACTTGATTGTTTACGTCCATGTAATCAGCTTGTGCTTTGACTACATTTGCTCTTGTTCGGCTGATGTTGACTGCAGCCTTCTTGTTCCTCCTTTCTTCAATTTTTTCAAGAGTACCAAGAGAGACCCATTCCTTGTGATGGTACTTTTTGTGGCCCAGAACCTCCTGACATGTTGAGGAGATTGCCTCCTTCATCCATTTCCAATAGTCCTCCATGGTACTTTCCTTTCCGTTAAGTAGATCGGGAAAAGCCTGGAATTTATTGCTGAGGACTATCTTGAATTCGGTGAGTTTGTCAGTATCCCGAAGAAACGCAGTATTAAACTTTTATGTTGCCCGCCCCTTTGTCCAGTGCTTCCTGAGTTTCAGTTTCATTTTGGCCACCAGGAAGTGGCGATCTGAGGCTATATCAACTGCTCTCTTGGTTCTCACATTCTACATTGTCCTGCTGAAATTTTTATCGGTAAAAATATGGTCGATTTGGTTCCGAGTAATGTGATCCGGTGAAATCCATGTGGCTTTGTGTATGCGCTTTTGTGTGAATATGGTGCTGCCGATGACCAGTTTATTGAAGGCACATGGATTTCCAAATCTCTCACCATTTTCGTTCCTTTCTCCTTGTCCATATCAAGCCATGATGTCTTCATATCCAGTGTGGTATATGTCAACCTTGGTATTTAGTTCTCTCATCAGAATGGCCCAGGCCTTTGATAAACATCTGTTGACGATTAACTGAAACCTATTGCAGAATTGATCTTTAACGTCGTCTTTGTAGTCGTTGGTGGGTGCATAACATTGGATGAAGTTCATTGTGATGTCCTCTTTCTTTGCTTTAAAGGATGCTTTGATTATCTTGGGTCCATACGATTCTAATCCTATCAGTGCCTTTTGTGCTTGTTTAGACAGCATCAGTGCAACTCATTGTGTGTGAGTCATTTTCTTCTTCATGGGGGAATAAAACAGCAGTTCTTCTGAAGCTAGTTTCAGCTGTCGAAAGAAAACCTTCTAACTCCCAGGGCAGAGTTTAAGTGGTCTGAATTATTTTTTCTGGTTAGCGTTTTTTAGCGAGTTAGTTTCCTACGGGATGGCGTCGCAGATCCCGTACCCAACCCTACTCCTTTATCCGGGCTTAGGACCGGCAGTACCAATAGAGGGACTCCAGGACTCTATATTGCTAACATATGTTGCCTTACAAACATTATCGATTCAAAAAAGTATTTTGTTCTTCAACGAAAATTTCACATACACAGTAGAGTTCACGTTAATACAGAGGTAGATATGCTCATTATTACGTAAGATTTTGAAAGTTTGAAATGAAACCTATGATTGCAAATATTACACTGTTTGTTCATTTGAAGGTGTGACTTGAAAAGAATCAGCAAAATCACCGTTTAGCAAGCCATGTGATAACTTATTGGAAACTCTAACACAAACGTGCTTTGGGTAGTTTCTAAGTGATAGGAAATAGGAGACAACTACTGACTTTAGAATAAGTCGAATCATAAGAATACACACAAACACGCCTCAAGATTTGATAAGATATGCGTGAATGATAAACATACTTAGATAACCTTGAATACAAGATTATTGGTGCATATAGGTGGGGCCTTAGAGAAGATGAAGATAAAAGTCATATTCTAAACAAACAAGATTTTAATATGCTTTTTTGAAATGATACCGTAGAATCTTAAAATTATGCTGACCCAATTTAAAAGAAATTCAGACATAGATATGCAAGTAAATATTCAAGAATTTTAATAACCAGCTTGGGATAAGTATGAAATTCTCATTTTTTGATTGTATTTCTTATTAGTAAGCAGAGTTTACCCCTTTTTTTCTTGTAACCCATCGGTTGAAACGCATTTTACATAAACAGTCATTTTAAACCCATCATTTTTACATTAGACTGTTTTAAGATTGACTGCTGTGGTCTTACCACCTTGAATGTGAACTTAAATTTAGCTAATTACAATCTGTGGTAGAAATATATATATATACAATGTACATAAATAACTCCGAGTAACCAAGACAGTCTTCTGACTTAAATAGACCTCGGGTGCGTTATTCAGGTGGATTCAACCGCTATTCCAGTGAACATGACAATAAGCAACTTTTATTTGTGCAAATACGCAAATTAATGTAAAGCAGCTAAATAACAAGTTACAAATTTCAGTTCAGTAAAAACGCTCCTCGTACTAACTATATGGGAAAAAAGAAGTAGTAGAATACTAGAAATTCTATATGTTCAATGATGGTCGATGAATACGGATTATACGAACATGCTAAGAAGAAATTAATGAGATGAGAGCATTGAAATATTCATATTATCAGTGATAGTAAGAAATTAATTTTAAGGAATTGGATTGTGCCAAAAATTATGAATGAAAAGATGAATGCATTGAAAGTCGCATAAACTATAAACAACGAGATAACTGTTTCATGAATAAACAATGAGAAATACTCACGGACAGAATTATTTACACAATGCACAGGTGCATCATCAATGAATTCTATTCGATCATAGAATAAAGAAGTCAACGTTTCAATTCGACTAATCCACTGTTTAATAATTTTGATTTTTTCATTCCGTTTAGAAGAAAGTTTTGCATTAAAATCCATTGAGTGCATACTTTCCAAAGTCTGGAAATAAATATATATATATATATATAGCGGATTGACAAGTAGAAATGTTTTGTAAAAAAAATGCAATTTTCAGTAAAGCATACAAAGTACAATCAAAAAAAATAACGGAGTATATAAATAATGTCCCATTGTCCAACTACAATTCTCTGCATCAAAAACTTTAGTATCCTCATGAATGTAATGACGAGACGAACATCACTGTTTATATCCAAAAAAGGATAAAACATTTCATAGATAGTAGACTTTAGACTCCAGATTAAGAGTAAATTAGTTGCAAGTGGTTCAGGAAAATAAACAGTATCATTAAGCTTTTGTTAAGGTATTTTGTGATGTCAATTAATCAGACGTTCATTTATTTTGAAATTCAGAAACGGTGAGGTGCTTTTACAGTTCAGGACAAGTCAGTGTCAACGACGTCATCTGAGAAGCTTCAGCTCAATACAGTGAAAACTACTCACAGAAATTCTGCATGGTCAGTCCAAAACAGATGTTTCATGGTTACACTACTACGTAAATAAGACATAAATTTTATACGTTTCCTTTTTAGCTTTTTCAAGAAGTATTCTTTTGCGATGTAGGTAAGAAGGAAATGATAAGCATCCACACACACACACAACTTGATCGCATTCGATTTTTCTGATTGATTACTGATATTCGTCTATTCCTGCTATGAACTCTTCTACACCGATTTTCTTTTTTACCGCTCAGTATAATGTTATTTTTGTTAATAGTATGAGCCTTTGGCATAGATTTTTCCTTACACTATTGAAAGTAACGTAGAAAAAAGAAGTGTCAACTGAAAATTTTCAACACATGGGGAAATGGTGATATATTTTATCATACTCACTTGTAAGCAATTCATAAGTTTAGGTTTATGCTTTTCTGCTGCTAAATGAGCGAAAGATTTAGCTGAATCTTCTAATTCTTTTGTTTCTGCCGAGCGTTTAATGTAAATTTTCGGTTCAAATGAATCCCTGAATGAATTGAATTGACTATTACAAGGCAACTGGATTTCAATAGTAAGTGTAGAACCCAAACCGAAGCCACTTGAACTTCCAGGAAGACACCCATGCAAACGTAAAGCATCAAACGAGTTCATAGTCTCGATAGATTTATAGTCAGTCTCCGATTGATTAGCGATTGTTTTCATTTTATCCCCTTCGTTAGACTCAGAAATAGGATTTGGAACCAGTATATCTAGTATAGTTGACAAAGAGACTAAATTTTCTTCCACTGATTCGCTGTATTCTGGATTAGTATAGAAGAAAAACTGTACAATTAATTGACTTTTGGATGATGAAAAGCAAGGAATAGTACTTACATTCAAGGACTATAATATTAACGAAATCGTTAGTTTTTTAATCTAGATTCATTTACCCTGTCAAAATTCATGCTTCTTGACCAGTCGAATTTTTAGTATTGATCTCTGCCTTTCCTCCATTGGTTGTTATACATTCTAAAATGTTACACTATGCTATACATTCCACAATCGGTAAATACAGATGCAAGTTTCGTACTAAATAAAATTAAAAGCAGTTTTCTCCCATAGGTTATTTGATTACAGTCGTTTTGTCTACACCATGAAGCTAACAGTTTCAGATTTTATGAGTGTGTGAAAAATAATAATATATGAATTTTTCAATGATTATCAGGAAGTTTTAGTAATTTGAAAAAACCTTATAAATTGAGCATGTTATCAGAAAGGAAGAATGAAATTTGCCACTTCTCACATAGTTGGCAAGTATCTTCACAGGTCAACTACATGCTGAAGTCAGTCGATTACTCAAATACAAGGTAAGACCCTGGAGAAGTGTTGATTGGTTGAAGTTGTGACATTAGATACTCCGTTTGCTTTCTATGACAATTTTTTGAAAAAGCTACATGTCAAATTTTGAGTTTGAGATAGGGGTATGACTAATTAAGTTTAGTGCATAAAAAATCAAAACCTAGCCGATCTGTTTTAAGGGTATGGAAAAGATACATACGTAATAAGAAAATATAGGGAGCGATTCTACAAAATATTTATTTGGCCAAAATATATGGACAGTTTAAGAAATTAGTCGCGATTATGTCTGGGTGGAACATTAAAATTACTAAGTAAGAATAATGCAAATCAACTACGTATATTTAGATAACTATATACAGAATAGTAGTACTCACAAAGTATCGATCTGTAGAAATGGTTTTATCAATATAGGTAATGAAGATAAATAAAAGATTATTATTTTGCAGAAATGTGTTAGGATAAATCGACACTTGAGTTTAGATTGAGCTTAATCTATTTAGCATACATGTTAACGGATAGTTGACCCATACAAATAGTATCAATGACAAACATAATGTTTACTACTAACAATTTATTTAGGACATATAAGATGTATTTAAATGCACTTTATTGTTTATGAATAAAAGTATACAAATTAAGAAACTGAGCTACCTTCGATTTCCTTCAAGCAATTATTAAGACGACGACGAGATTTTATTAATTTATTCTTGAATGATTGAGATTTTCGTTCACGTTGTTCCCGTATGTTTTGTATGAGCTGTTTTGTTGGACAATATCCACAACTGCCGTTGCCTAATGGTCGACTATCTAAACTGAGAAAATTTAAAAATGCTTTCAATTGACCTTTGGCTCTCTGTGATGGTACCCATGGTAGAGGTGGAGATGGATCAGGACTCCAAGGAGTAACATCGAAGTTTCCTTGTGTTAATTCATACTCCCAGTCAAGCAGAAATTCTATTGCTTCGATTCGCAGTTCTTTAGCAGCTTCTTTAGGTAATAGGATTGGTGCAGAATGAGATTCTAACCGTATCATATGTGAAAAAGTGTCCTACGGAGAGAAGCACAGCATATATGAATAGATAGTCCCTGTGATATACAGATATGAAGACGTTAGCGAAATTTATCAAAACAATCAATTAATTAAGCATTATGAAATAAAAATATAACGTATTTCATTTGTCAAGTGTTTATTGTTTTTTTCAACTGTGATTGCCAGTACAGTGTTTACTATAAGACTTAATAGGTTAAAAAAAATTTCAAGATTCCTTAGTACGAGAAATAGCACAATAACTTGGTGGGAGAAAAATTAGTTTACTCTCTCATCCAAGTTCTGGACAATCACAAATGTATCATATTATTCGACCGATTCGTGAATTTTATTATTAGTTTTGATAATCAGTAAACGACTAGAAAGTACACGATCTTCATTAGTAATAGCAATACTCTAAACTAACATGGTTTAGCATTCAGCGTACCATCGGATTAGATGCAATGTGTGACTTTCCCAATAAAAGAATTCACATGCAAAATGTTCATGTTTGAAACACACAAGGAAGTCAGAAAACATTTACAGAAGACAGCGATGTTTGCCTAGTTAGAAATTCTGTTATTATTATTATTATTACACAGCACTCTTCGTTGACCAACGACCCACCTAGAGCATTTGGTGGATTATATTAGTGGCAAGGCTATGAGATACATTGTGTGGAAGAAAATATATAAATTACATTGCTATAAGATTCATGGTAAGTATAAGAAGGTGTAGAATTATAGCCTACTGGTTTAACTGCTTGCTTTTAATCAACGTTTCACAATAGTATAGTGTAGAACAGGAAACGCATGAGTCTCTATCAAGGCGTACATAAGTGAAAATCGAGTGTTATATATGAGACGATTGAAAATTAAAAAAGGTTACGAATGTGAAGAATATGAACATTCGAATTCAGTTGAACTTTGTGTAACTAAAAATAAATATCTGTGACAATCACAGAAGAATCCGTTTAACTAATAGTGTCTGAAATATTGGCTTCAATAATGTCGAGTCAGAACTTATGGTCAGCTGTCATCGAAATTGATTTATTCAAGTGATTTTCGTCAGGGTTGTCCACTTTCCCAATTCTTAATTAACTTTGTCATTGACATGCATTTCGAGATGACAATTCTGTTTTCTGACCTTTCGGAAGTTGACCTTCTAACAGGAGGTTTGCTTGTTGACTTAGAATATGCAGATGATATAGTTCTATTCGGTGAAGACGCTGACAAAATGCAGTCTTATGACCACCTTAAACAACAGCACAAGCACGTTGGGGATTCGATTCTCCTCGTCAAAATGCACACTGCTGCCTCATGATTGGGGTTGTGTCGATACACGAACTAGTGATAGGGAGCAGAGTAGTTGAGCGTGCCTCATCAGTCCTAATGAACTGGTGTCTGATGAAATCTCTGTGCGGATACAGAAGGTTTGACAGGCTTTTGACAACTCGCATCACTTATGGCGTAGGCGAGATATCCGTTTGCTAACTAAAGGAGAGTCTACTGCTCGGCAGTTAGCTCCATCCTACTCCATGGATGTGAAACATGTCCACTAAGAATAGAAGATATTTGGAAGCTACTAGTATTCGATTAAAGGTGTCTTCGAAGCATTGCTCGTGTATCGTGGGACAACCGAGTAAGCAATATTGGGGTTAGGAAGGGGTACTAGGTAAGGAGGGCAGATCGATAGATGAAGTAGTGGAACTTCATCAGTTGACGTGTTTGAAACATGTGTTACGAATGCCTAACTACCGACTGCCTGGAAGAGTGATGTTTCGTGGTAGTGGAGTAGGTTGGAAGAAAACTAGGAGTGGTCAAACCAAAACATGACACAAATGCATGAAGTCATTGACAAGTGGACTGAGCCGTGTTGGTAGGTGTACACTACCTGGCAGGGGTCCGCAAGGTATTAGTAACCGATGGTTAGAGAGTTTGAACGGCATGGCTCAGAATCGTTTGCAATGGAGCATATTTTCTGAAATTATAATCTCTTAAATTCCTCATGAGCTTTATACTTATCTTCTTAAACTTATTTCACTGGGATATACTTCCTGAATCATATCGCCGATATCAATCTTTTCGACTATTGTTGATACTGGTACTATGTTGTAACTGACTGACTGACTGATCAGGTCCTTAACCTTTTACTTTATATATATATATATATATATATATATATATATATATATACCATAATGTGGACATATTACTAGTCACCAAAATACAGAAATTTTGATATCTATGCACGATTTTATTGGGAGGGAGTGTTACCTAAGTAATATGAACATCTTTATGTTTGTTCCCATCTTTAAGCTATTAAAATTTCTAAGTGTGAAACGTACTATAGTTCGTGAAATAAATGGACAGAGTTCTTTGTTAACAAATTATACCAGATTAGTTGACTTGAGAACCAGCTGATTTTGATTAGGATCGGCTACCTATATACGATGGGATGTTAAAAATTGGAGTAAGATTTTCACGATGCTATATTTAACAAATACAGTAGGGTCTCTGTCCGGTTGCCCTCAACTTACCTGTAAATTATCCAAAATTAAGTTACGAAGACATTTCGCTAAAGGAATAAATTTGACTGCATCATTCATATTTAGTGTTAGCTGACGAACAATCGCTTGAGGAGAAGATAACAATCTAAGTAGCCTCAACACGCCAAGTCGGATTTGAGCATGATTGCGGCGTAACTGAACAGTAGCAAATCGAAACAGATCAGAGACAGTAGAACTTGACGTGCTGGAAAAAATACAGAAAATGAAGTTGGTTAGCCACTTAAAAATTGATCTTTTTGAGTGAAATACTCAACGAGACAAGATATCTTTGATTTTGAGGAATCATATATAGGTAACTCGATTTCTTATAATGATGAGTCGTTATGATACGATCATGAACTTGTCTGTAATTTTCTCTGACTCTGTTTCAGAAAATTGTAAACACCAGTGTGATATACAGATATAGCATAGAATGGGTATCAGTTTAACTTGCTGAACTCCTAATCCGTACAAGATAAAACCAAGAAGAGTAGGATTGAAAGGGTGATAAAATTGTTATCAAGAGTACAAAAGATAAACCAAAAGAAGGGTTAGAGAATGAGGTTATAACACGATGCATGAATTATGAGGGAATAAGAATGAGTTTTCTTAGCTACTGTTACTTAACGCTGAACTATGGAGGACATGTTGCTTCTTCGAAATACTGGAATCCATTCACAAAGCGAATATAATAATCAGTATTCATATAATCTTATGTTAGATTAATGTACAGAATACCACAGAAATGATAGCTATCAAAAGCTTTAGATAAACATTAGTTACTTACAAGACAAAAAGATTTACGGACCTACATTTTCACACATGATAAATAAGGTTATGTTGTGATGCTGTATTACCTACCGGTTTCGGATATGACGAACGAATTCTCAATACCTTATTCAGAAAATGTCTCAAATTTTAAAAAAATTATTTTTTTTCGGAATTTGAGTCAGCAAACCAAGAAAACGTTGTACTTAAGAGAAATAAAACATTATAGCTTGCGAATTTTTTACGGAGATCTCCCTTCATAGTATTTTGTTTGCATGTGTGGTTAACAAGTGAGCTGTGAGACATTGGAAGCATTTGCCCAAGCATTATGATATGTATAATACTACTGAAGTGCTATTTGAGGACCTGATCCAATGCAAGCTTCTTTTATCCCGAATTATGCTATACCTCAATTTTTAATAATTGAGTCACAGAAAACTAAGACTGATAATGGCAGCGTAAAACATGTGGATATTTCTTAAAGAATTTGAGATTTCTCGGAAGTTTACCAACAAGAATGAGGGTTTTGGAGCGACAGATTCTACCCAAACATTTAGGAAATTAAAATATAAATTTAAGGAAATCCTGTGCTCAGTTTCCTAAGGAATACGAAGTTTTAGAACACCTCTCTTCCTATTGAAATTATCCATAAACTGGTTATTAGAAATCTAGTTAAGATAAGTTTACTAGGGTGTTTTATAGTTCAAAGGATCTATAATATGGCGTGAATTCGTGTTTGACCGGAAGGTTGACAAGTCTTCTTCGGTGGCATTGAAAAGTACATCCTGAAGTATGCGTAAGTAGCAACTTAATTTTGTATACTATTCATTTACATAATATTTATATCTAAATCCTAATGTTTTTTCCTCCGTGAGCCGGTGGTCCTTATCCGTCCGGCGGAGTGAGGTTGGGGACATTTTAGTTCATAATTTGTCTCGTGGTGTGGATCCAATAAACGATAAAGGCTCTGGAAATAATGGAAATGGGGATTTAAATCATATGAGCAAATTTTAAATCATTAGATATTTGGAAAGTGAGAATTCTCCAAGCAGAAATGAGTTTAGAGTATTGCTAGATTGGAAGGAATTTCTGCATAATCATCCTTTCCTACTGGGGCTTTTGTAAATATTTGATTCAGAGTAAATGGATTCATAGTTTGTTCGGAGGAGAACGAATACTTTTGGCATTATAACTCTGTTTGACCTTCTCAGCATTTGATGTCTATAACTACCCAAACTGCCACAAATGTGATGGTTGTATTATTATTATTATATTATTGGCAGCTTAACCGTTAGCGGAGTTACGTTTTGGCCAACCGATAAGTCGCGACATTGACTAATTGCATCCACTTCGCAGTATTGACTTCAAATTTGTAGCATCAATCGCCATTGTTTGACCCTTTCTGGTTGAATTTTCTGGATATGCAGTATTTTCTTACTTACACAGGTTTAATGAAAACAGGAAGTCAACGTGTATGAAAAACTTTTGTAGAAATATAATACTTACTAAACTAACTAGCAGATATAAAATTGTGATTGATCATTATTGGTTAATCTATAAATCTCTTGGGTGGTTGTACGTATGAGGGAGTTACCAAAAACTAACAGTAACATTTTTACGTTAGTGCTTTGTCAATCAGATCTTACTAAAAAGGGTACTATATCAGTACAGCACAAACTGAATAGATTGAAACATTCAAAGGTAAATTCTAAAAACTACCCGAGTTTAGGTTATTAGGATCGCACAAGATATTTTAATAGTATAAGTCTAAAATTTTGACCGAAAAAGTATTCATTTTATACATGCAATTATAACGTAACATCACACAAACTGGAATAGCTGGGCACATATATTAATGAAAATTACCAGCATATATTTATGGTTTCTTCAACGAGTAAACAATCAGGTTGATTGGAACCAGATTTAGTAATTTTGTCAACCAAAAGTTGTAAACGAGCCGGACCAGTTTCTTTATTTTTTGATGTTGTTGACATATGACCTGAAAATAAATACGCATAACTCAGCGTCAAAATATGAATTGTCGAAAATCTTAGCAACACTTGATTGGAATATTTTTAGTGGGAAGAATTTCTATGTATGCATTCAGATGATAACCCATACCTTTCATAAAATATGACAGTATACTTTGAATAAGATTAATTGACATCTATTTCCAACTGTCAGTAATTGAAGTAAGTTTCTTAATGCTTGAAAATGCTAATGACACGATCTTATTTTACCTCTGAATTGCTTTTCTTTTTATAGCTAACAGAAATATTAATTGATAAGGTGTGAGCGGGTAAGAGATAAGAAAACCTCATCTATTTCACTGGATTCAATTTGACGATCCAGGTGACAAACATCGAAGTATTTTATAACTATGCTCTATGATTATACATCTAACCTCGCGAAACCTTAAATTTCGGTTTATTCAAATGAGCATTCAACGTTCAGTATGGTTATCATCAGTCTTATAATATCAACAACTTTAAAGTGACAATTCATACAACCACATTTTAAAAATGGTGAATGAAAGAACAAGATGGTAAAAAACATATTTATATTTGGAGTTATCTCATTGTTTGTTTGTTGGTTCACATTTGCTTGTTGAACTAGAATCGCCCTGTAAGTATATTAAATAGATTAACAGTATAAAGTGGTGTTACTCACGGATTTTCCCAACCATTCATCATTATAAGCGCTAAAGTCAGGTGATTCAACAAAGGGAAAACAAAATCTAAAATTGAATTCATGGAATAATAATTACATAGATTTACTCTCCAATTTTCATAAGTTGACCATAACGACCGACATTCAAATTTAAGCAACCACCCCTTACAGTAGTGTTACCTTGAACTAGCTGTAAGACATCGCATGGTGCAATTAATGAACTGTTCTCATTCCAAACAGATATATTGATCGTCCCTGTGCGATCAGCGACCTTCGCAGTACGGACTTCATTCCCATCTTTCGTACGCGTGATAGGACCTTGCGACATGTGGAATAAATCTTAACGTAGACAGATGACAAACCCAGCTCAAGAACTATAAAGACACATGATACACGTTTCATGTTGGGTTTCAGATCTTTTAAAAAATATGACTGATCTTTTGTTTCACCCATGTCCTGGCATTTAACTAGAAATGTTGTTTAAAATTCTGTAAAAATAAACATCGAAAAATGTATGTCAAATAAATTGGATTTAAGCATGGAGACTGTCATATCGTAACGAAGTAAACATGACAGCGATTAATTTGCATACACTCTGGTATATCAACATCATGTACCTCCACGGTTATTCAAATAATAGGCTTATTGAACCTAGTTTGTACATCCGCTGTTCTCACAGTTAATCAAAATGGCGTTATATGAAGTTGATATTAATTGCGTCAGCAAACTAATGCTTTTATTAAAATTTCTGCTGCATCTTCCTTACGATCCACTAATTTCATTAAAAACTGAAATTACGTCAGGTCATTTCAAGACAATTGGTACATTTTGTTCCCTTATTTCTTCCTACATTTACTAAAACTCATCTCCAAGGAGACCTTATAAAAATGTTAGTTATCCTTTTATTTCACGGTCTGATATTCTTGAGTTCAGAGTAGTATTTTGATAACGTCCAGATATCAAATAATTACTCAGTCAGACAGCTACAACATAGAACCATAAGTTCTGACTCGACTAGTAGTGTTTGAGTAGAGAGTCTGAAGAAGGTCATCGTAATGACTGTTGTGTTACACCTTTCAATGACAGATACTGTCACAGAACCAACAGGGTCACACGCTGCCTTAAGGTTAAGGAATACAACTATTGTGGGACGCCGACATGTGTATCTGTGTTCTAGGATCTGCCGAAGTGTGAATATTTAGTCTATATGTATCCACGTCCATATCTGTACCCATCTTGGTTTTCTCAAGTCTTCTGTTCATGAGCTCCAGTTAGGCATTGAAGTATTATTGAAGCCAATATTTCAGACACCGTATTAGCTAAACTAATTCCTCTGAGTATGATCTGAATCTAAACATGTGTTCCAGAATGAGTGGCAGTCTTCTATCCAGCCTCTCCATCGGTGGTTGATAGCAATTCGATCTAGTTGTGTCCAGCGTTGGGTCGATTTCAGGGGTCACTATGTCAAAATATGTTGTTCCTTACGTTAAAGTCGGTATTTGCCAGAAATAGGCGGTTATCTCAGCATAGTTACAGCAGACAAACGCCATTATCTGTTGTTTGAGCCGTGACACCATAAGATCACCCTGTGTCTTTCTGTTTCGTCCAATCTACCTATTCAAGTATTAAAACCACCAGCCACCGGTTAGCTTTTTGTAGAAGGTTGGGAGGCTTTCCGTAAAATTCGTCTTTTACTTCATCTGGCCCGTAGTCAGTGGGTGCGTAGGCACAGACATCTAGCAGGCTATGGCGAGTGCCTGTTTCTTTCCGAGTATTTACTGTCCCGTTTAGTTGGACAGTACACAAGCTACTGTCTACCGGAATCCAGTCTAAGAGAGCTAGTTTCGCTTTAACACTCAGCGCACTATCGAGGCCATGGGAAGCAGTAGTGAGGCTTCCAGATGCAAAAGGTGTAAATCGCGAGGGTTCTTAATGTTGACAAGATGAGGCCAAGTAAATCACTGTACTCGGATCTTTTATGCACGCTTCGGACACGCGGCATGAATTAATGGTGCGAAATTCTAAAATTCTAGTTAGGGAAGCCTGTTTGGCACAAGGTCCAAACATTAAAAACTCTAACATGTAGTCAAGAGCGTGGTTTCGGGAGACCAGTAATAACATTTCGTGTACTCAAATGACGCACGATGATAAAGGCATACGAGAAGGGTTATTCATAGAGACAAAAGAGTTGCTACAAAGTGATGAAAGGATTCGATCATGAACAAGTCGATCTCATATTCTTTAAACAGTAAGAAGGTAGATATAGCTTCCTGATAAGCCACATAATGGAGGTATTTCTTGAGGAACCTGAGAAAGAAGGTAGATTAGCGTCGGTCTTAGCGATCTGTGAGCGTCACCGCAGAGCCCAACGGACAACTGCTTCAGGCCGGTCACCCACAACCTTGTCATAGGAAGTTTGTAAAGTGTTAGCTCCACTCTTTTAAAGGTCTCGCCGCTGAAGACGGAAATCTGTGGTGTAAGGTGAGGTGGAACATTTTTAAGGTCAAGCTTTTCTAACACCTTCCTTCTGTTGTGAGGGGGCAGCATCGCTACAGATGCTTTCTAGTTGTTTCTGAAATATAATCTTAGCTTTATTATCATTAAGTAGAACCCTAAGCGGTTTCCTTGCGTCCAGTAAGACGCAAACAAATACGCGCTTGCACTAGAGCATGGTCTGAATATAAACATGTGCCCCAGAACGAGCGGCAGTCCTCTATCCAACCCCTACATCGGTGGCTGATAGAGATGTGATCCAGTTGTGTCCAGCTTTAGGATGACTTCAGGGGTCTCCATGTCGAGATGTTTTTCTTTGTGCCTAAAGTTAGTGTTTGCTAGAAATAGGCGCTTATCTGAGCATACTTGCAACAGACGGTCGCCACTGTCTGTTCTCTGAGCCGCGATACCATAACATCCACCTAGGTTTCTTTCATTTTCACTTAGTCTACCTACTTGAGCATTAAAGTCACCAGCCATTATTACTATATCAGAGCGCCTAGCTTTTTGGAGCAGGTCCGAAAGCTTCCCGTAAAACTCATCTTTCACCTCTTCTGAACTGCAGTCAGTGGGGGCATACGCAGATACGATGAAGAGGCAACGGCGATTGTCCCTATCTTCTCGAGTCCTTACTGTCCCGTTTAGTCGGACGAAGAGTAAATCGAGCTGCTTCTTTATTTTGACAAGGTGAAATCAGACTAATAATTTTATTAGGACCCTGTATGCGCGTTTCGGAGACGCAGCATACATAGATTGAGCGAGATTCCAATGTGCTAGCTAATGAAGTCTGTTGTCTTATTTGACACAATTTTCGGACATTAAATGCTCCAACATGTAATTTAGGACGGAGTTTCAGGAGACTAGGAATAACGTTTCGGGAACTCGAATTTTTTGCATCAGAGATGCGGGGTGATAAAGGAATGTGAGTAGAGTTAGTCGTGAAAATAAAAGAGATGTTAGGGGGTGTAGGAAGGATTTGTTTGTGAACAGTTTGGTCTCGCGTGCTGTTACGGGTATGAGGGAGGATACCACCTCTGGGATGCCAATACAGTGGGTGTTTCTTCAGGAACCTGAAAAAGAAGATAGTGTGACGGGGTTAAAATCACTATGCACGATGTTGCTAACCCGTTCTGTTTTCTTTCTATTGCAGGGCGATCAAACATAAACGCTTTGAAAGCTGAAGAACAAGCCCTGCATGCTCTGAATTTACGGGATGACTCATAAGACCTTGGTAAACAAGCAATCCTTTTTCTGTACAAAACCCGCGTTATTTGATTTTTAAGTAAAGAGTGTCATGGCTACCACTTCGTGTTCTCTCTTGGTGTGAAGTGCTCAGCTAACCTTGTGTGTTGTGCTTTTAGATCTTGTCTGCCCTTCAGTGACTGCTGGTTACACGTGTTACAGTAGATTAGTGTTGGTCTTAGAGACCTGAGAGCGTGACTGCAGAGCCCGAGAGACACCTGTCTCGGGCCGGTCACGAACGGCCTTTTTACGAGAGGTTGTTAAAGTGTTAGCTTCTCTCTTTTTGAGAGGCCTTACAACCGGAGACGGAAATCCGTGAGGTAAGGTGAGGCGTGAAAATTTCAGGGTTGACATTCTCTTACCCTTCCTTCCTGGTGAGAAGGCAGCATTGCTACAAATGCTAGTTGTCCGAGGGAAACACCTTAATGCTGTCACACCCCACTACAGTCAGCAGAACAACTTCGCCCTCAGACCTTGAGTAGCTGTTTTTAGTCCCATCCTTCTCCAATCAACCTGCCTGGTATGATAGAACCTACAGGAACAGATGTTCTAGCAAATATAGATCGGTTGGGTCATCACGATAGGCAAGCCCGACCACTACGTTAAGGTAGTAGCTTCGGTCAGTCATGCCTGAAGTAGAACCTGGGACAAATATGTACTTGCTCCCTAAGCTCCTTCATTGCTGCTAATAATTCTACTATCCCTATCACTCTTGGATTTGAACTGACAGTTGCGTCTGTGTGCTGACGTGGTATAGCAACCTGAACTGATGTACTTATGTACGAAGTTCTGCGTTGTATCTCTCTGTCTGGCTGGCTGATTTATCACCGCAGTACTTCTTGGTCAATACTCAGGAAACCAATAAAAGGAAAATAACAGGAAAGTGTGGGTGAATTTTGAACAGCGGTGTCAACTTTAAGGAAATTTTGCTTTTTTCTCATAGAATTTGTTATCTACTGGAAGAACTAGACATTTAGGGCAAAGTGAAAATTGATTTCGAGAAATTTCCTTCAAAAGCCGAAATTCCCAACGAAAACAAAAGTTGGGAAGCAAAAGTGGAACTTTTATTTTTAGACGTGACGTGGACAACGTAGGCGAGAATCAGACTATTTGGCAACCATGAAAGGGGAAATCTATAGACCTTTCGCATTCTATGAGACGCTCAGATGATGTCTCATTATTTCCGCCAGCCTTGATAGTAAAAGGTATAATTTTGTGTAGTTTCTTATAAATTCACACCAATTATTTTAGCAAATGTCGCCTGCATTTCCCCATCCATGTTTAAATGGGTTCAGGGGTAAACTATCACTATATACCCGGATTGATGAGAGACGGAAATTCGTTGTTGTCTCCTGAGCTTATAATCGGGGATTTTTCCAGAAAATTTCCCCAATTTTTGCCTTGATTTTCCTTAATTAGTTTGCTCGGGTAGTTCGGCGATATATGCGAGCTATGGTAGTGATTGTCCGAAGTCTTTATGCTTCCTAAACGAAGTTTCTAATATTTAAAACAGCATATATAATTTCAACACACGATTACTAAGCATGATAAAAGTGATAACATACAGAATCCAAGCTGGGGTTCGTCCAAAAGCTGATGACCTAGAAACTACATTTCCGCCAACATTCAATATTCAATATCTTTCACAAGCTATTACCAACCTGTTGATCTCTATGCTCTCGATTATTCTTCTTTCAGTGTGCTCTCAGGCATTTGTCGGGGTCCACTGGACAGCATTATTCCAGTCGGTTGGAAGTTGTTTATGAGTTTGTATGTCCTGTGATTTGGATGAGAACGTTTGTTTGAGTGTAGTAGGGTTTCGGGATACCAGGATCTATCACGATCCCAGGAAGGATATCAGTTATTTCCAATGTAGATAATAATGAGGCAAAATTTGTAATGCTAATGAGGAAAGGATTTCAGAAATAAATAAATAACTGGATAATGAAGGTTGTTTATTGATAGTGAAGATTGTACGAGAGGACTGAAGTGTAAACAAAGGAACGGTAAAAAAGATAATAAATGGGGCAGATTAAGCTAGTGATCTGAGGAGATGATAACAGCTATCAGGTCTCAAGAAATGTATCAGGCACAGCTGCTTCACGGGAGAGATGATAATCCTCTATTCAATACCCAATACCTTTGTGACGACTTTATAAGCTGACTGAGCTTGCTTTGCAATGTGGTTGTACATTTCCGAGCTTTTGATACTGCTCAGTTTTAGTACTCTGACTTTCTTGTTTCGCTAAACATAGTTACCTTTAAAACCAATTAGGGGTAAAAACTTCTTCAGTATAAGTGCTTTTGTTCTAGTGCAGTTGAATTGTTAATACAGGCACCTATCTGAGTAATGAGTAAGGGTGAGTATTTAGAATTATAAAAGATTACAAGATAAGGATGGGATTTTCAGAGGAGTAAAGGAAGATAACGGTGAGAATGAGATATTATTATTTCAAAACTTAATTATTGGTACAAAAATTTCACCACACAAATAAAATAATTTGTGAGCTGAATGTGGTGTGAAGCTAAACTGAGATTACTAATAGGAACTAAGTAATGATTGTGAGTTGAATGGTCGGTCAACTTTTCAGTGACAAACTGATATCCTTCGTTTTCATACAGAATTCTGAGTGTATGTAACTAGTTTTCTGGCTAAAAGTCTTCTTCGCTTCCATTTAGCTCGTTATCATCAGGAGTCTCTTAGTTAATTCAAATGTTTTCCTCAAAGAAACTAATTGTGACATGACGAAAATAAAGTGTTTTCATGGAAGCGATTTCGATTCAGCTGGACCTCTAGCAGTTTCGAAAGTCATGCAGAACAAAATCAAGTTGTTACAGTTAGGATCGATGAGACTTGCTATGATTCATGACTATCAAGAGAAACAAACATGAAAAGTTTTGGAGGACAAGAAGTGAATTGATTCAGGCACATAAACCAAGGGTTTATATCCCAAAAGGTATGCAGAGTCAGAATAACTGATATCTAGTAGAAGAAGGATAGTGCAACACATGATCTCAATACTGTAACCATCTAACTGATTAGATTCACTTAATTAGATAGTTTTTTCATTTAGCTTAGCTTCAACAAGTTAGAGCTTTGAATATAATCTTTCTTATCTGGTCGATATTGCAAACATAAAAATTAACTCTCTATATCATAGGAAGGATTCAATATGGATCATAATAATAATGATCTTACCTTTTATTAGGTGACTTTGAGGATGATAGGGGTGGTTGAATTGAAGATGAAAGTTTTAGGCTGTTGATCGATGTATTGGTAATGTTGGATATCATATAGTATTCCGATTTCCATCGCTTAGTGATTTGAATTTTCCTGCTAGAGACTTTGTAATATTGATCGACCAACAGTTTTGAGCAAGTTGGTTTGTTTGTATAAAAATTTATCAGCAGATTTATTTTACTAAACGATGATGGTGATAATACTAACGATAATATTTATGTTACTAACAACAACTACTAACAGCCATAATAGTAATGAGTGTGAATATGAATCACATGGATAACAATAGGAAATCTCTTAAGCTTCTAACTGTTAACATGATAGTTTTTTATGATCAGTGACTGTAAGACATATGAAAATAATGGGCAGTCATCATGTTTGCTGTCTACTGATATATTATCAGAACCATAGTCCCTTCAAATTGTCGTATCCATATGCGAAGTCGTTTTGGAAACCTGTGAAGTATCCTCGTCTGAATGAAGATCAAGTAGGCTGATACTCAGTTGTTCCATTCAACGCTATTAACAATACTCTTCACTCTAAGTATAACACTTATTCATAATCCACCGCAGATTATCGTGTTTTCATTAATGCATCGTAAAGGATGGAGTATAAGTTATTTTCCAATATTATTGAGTAGCTATTGGCAGTGAGTAACTGTGACTGACGATAGTTTGTGGATAATAAAGTTATCTATAAGAGGGCATTGATGGTGATCACAACGTCACATTTGTTTAGTGGTGGCGAAAGTCTTATTTGGTTGGGAAATAATAATTTAATTAAGTTTGATCTATGTGGGTAGTCAGTTTAGTGGATGAAAATGAAGGGCAACGTTATGTAGATAAAGCTGATGAAGACGTCATTCGGTGTAAAGTTTTTCCTTTACTTAGAGGAAATAAATAAGAATAAGATGAGAAAGATGGAGTTGTAGAAGTGTTTGTGCTTTATTAGCTACAAGTACCAATTTTTGCGTATATAAATGTCTACTGATAGATACAGACAGTTACTCGAATAAAAAGATTCGTTGGAAATTAGGAATAAGCTTGGGCCATGGGTGGGAAAACGTGAGGAAAGTTGTCTCTGATCGAATTAATGCCGATAATGGTTTTCTGATACTCAACCTCTGATTACAGGCCAGATGAAGTAAAAGACGAATTTTACGGAAAGCCTCCCAACCTTCTACAAAAAGCTAACCGGTGGCTGGTGGTTTTAATACTTGAATAGGTAGATTGGACGAAACAGAAAGACACAGGGTGATCTTATGGTGTCACGGCTCAAACAACAGATAATGGCGTTTGTCTGCTGTAACTATGCTGAGATAACCGCCTATTTCTGGCAAATACCGACTTTAACGTAAGGAACAACATATTTTGACATAGTGACCCCTGAAATCGACCCAACGCTGGACACAACTAGATCGAATTGCTATCAACCACCGATGGAGAGGCTGGATAGAAGACTGCCACTCATTCTGGAACACATGTTTAGATTCAGATCATACTCAGAGGAATTAGTTTAGCTAATACGGTGTCTGAAATATTGGCTTCAATAATACTTCAATGCCTAACTGGAGCTCATGAACAGAAGACTTGAGAAAACCAAGATGGGTACAGATATGGACGTGGATACATATAGACTAAATATTCACACTTCGGCAGATCCTAGAACACAGATACACATGTCGGCGTCCCACAATAGTTGTATTCCTTAACCTTAAGGCAGCGTGTGACCCTGTTGGTTCTGTGACAGTATCTGTCATTGAAAGGTGTAACACAACAGTCATTACGATGACCTTCTTCAGACTCTCTACTCAAACACTACTAGTCGAGTCAGAACTTATGGTGAACTGTTATCGAATTGAATAATTAAAGTGGTGTTCGTCAGGGTTGCCCACTTTCCCCAATCCTAACTAACTTAGTCATTAACATGCATTTCGAGATGACACTTCTGTTTTCTGACCTTTCGGAAGTTGACCTTCTAACAGGAGTTTTGCTTGTTGACTTAGAATATGCAGATGATATATTTCTATCAGGTGAAGATGCTGTCAGTCAGTTACAACGCAAAACTTTATGCGTAAGTACATCATTCCAGGTTGCCATACTGTTAGGATATTTATCAAATATTCCAAGAGAATTATTTTTGTAAGTTTAATTTTACTGGTAAATATTATGGTCGTCCTAACTGTTAATATCACATACTTCAATGTTGTTTCCTATTCGGCCTATGCATTATCTGTAAAGCTTATTATTCTATTCATTCCTTTCTTGATTAATTCTGTACTCGACTGCATAAACAACTTCATCTCACAGTGTTGTGTTCTGATATATTGGAGATTTGGGGACAGTTTTTGGGGTTGTACTTGAATATCTGAATTTAGTCAATCGGTAGGATTTCGAAAAGCTACATAGCAGCATTATAACACATACCTTATTAGTACACAGATGAAAGTATCAGTTCAGATCCCATAATGGTAGAAATAGTAGAAGTATTCGCAGTAATGGAGAATATAAGGTTTCGAAGATACCATTCAAGAAGTATAATTCAGTGGGATGTATTCAGCAATACAAGATAGACGTGACGAGAAATTCAGAAATTTAGAGTTTCAGAGAACACAGAAGGTGGAAACACATGCGCCATTGCAAACGATTTTGAGCCATGCCGTTCAAACTCTCTAACCATCGGTTACTAATACCTTGCGGACTCCCGCCAGATAGTGTACACCTACCAACACGGCTCAGTCCACTTGTCAGTGACTTTATGGATTTGTGTCATGTTTTGGTTTGACCACTCCTAGTTTTCTTCCAACCTACTCCACTACCACGAAACATCACTCTTCCAGGCAGTCGGTAGTTAGGCATTCGTAACACATGTTTCAAACACGTCAACTGATGAAGTTTCACTACTTCATCTATTGATCTGCCCTCCTTACCTAGTACCCCTTCCTAACCCCAGTATTGCTTACTCGGTTGTCCCACGATACACGAGCAATGCTTCGAAGACACCTTTAATCGAATACTAGTAGCTTCCAAATATCTTCTATTCTTAGTGGACATGTTTCACATCCATGGAGTAGTATGGAGCTAACTGCCGAGCAGTAGACTCTCCTTTAGTTAGCAAACGGATATCTCGCCTACGCCATAAGTGACGCGAGTTGTCAAAAGCCTGTCAAACCTTCTGTATCCGCACAGAGATTTCATCAGGCACCAGTTCATTAGGACTGATGAGGCACGCTCGACTACTCTGCTCCCTATCACTAGTTCGTGTATCGACACAACCCCAATCATGAGGCAGCAGTGTGCATTTGGAGGGGGAAAATCTCATCCCGAACATGTTTTCATTGTTGCTTAGGGTGGTCATAAGACTCTGCATTTTGTCAGCGTCCTC